ACATGCCTCCTGCATCAACAAGTCTGTTTCAGAAAAGAACAAAAAAGCGGTCCCGCATGTACATACATACAGGCTGCATGTGCAGTAAACTAAGTAAGAGGGTCTCTTTCCATCTAGTAGATTCTACACATGGTACATACATATGTAGTGTACGTACGACTGGTGCAGATTTTGTTGGCGGAAGACGCGTTTAAACCACATTCACCACTTTTTTTTTTGCTCGGTTGTCGCTTTGGGTGAGAGAGTAAAAGAGGAGAGAGAAAACGAGGGTGACGATGATGGAGGGGGTGGGAACCAAGAAAAAAAAACGTTGCGGGCCCCGCGGAACGGTCCTGGCTATGCACACACACATACACACGCGCATACGCGAAGCGTTGAGCCGGAGAAATCTCCGTTTTGCTTTCTCTCTCTCTATCTCTCTTGCTTTTCAGCAAACGACAACAACCCCTCCCCCCCCCCTTGCTTACTTACAGAGATACGTGGCTAGGCGGCCTGGGATGAGGGTAGGACAGGGTAGGGGTACGGGGAAGGGGGAAAGAGAAGAAAGTGTGGATGATTGAGTCTCTTGGGTGGGTTCAGAAGGTTTGTAGAGTGAGTGCGAGTGCGTTTGACGGTGTAGGCCATGCGTGTGTTGTACGCTTTAGAAGAAGGATGATTGAGAGAGAGAGAGGAACCCACTTCGCTACAAACGATGGATATGGCAGAGATACATGGGGGAGAAAGAGAGAGAGAGAGAGAGAGAGAGAGAGAGAGAAATGAATTCGCTATGCGGGTATACATGGGATATGTAATAATATCCCATAGTATACAAATGATGCGATTATAAGCCTTTTTTTCTTCTTCTTCTTCTCTTCCTTCCCTACGCAAAAGAAACGGCAGGCATCCAACGGTAACAACCGAGAAAAAAAAGAAGGGAAGGGAAAAAAAGGAAGGAAAGGATTCGCGGGTAGAGTAGAATAGTGTTCTGTCTCGTAAACAAACGGTAAACAAATCGTGTATGTAATCCTTCCAATTCCTTACTCACTCACACAGCAAAGGGAAAGGGAAGGCGAAGGAGGGAGGCCTAAGTTCTAGAACCACACACCCTTTCGCCACATACAACACACTCACACACACACACACTTGAGGAGAAATAGTACTAGGCGCACATCATCGGGATTTAACATCCCGGGCGAGTAGAATAAAAACAGGACAAAAGACATCTGATAGGACAAGATGCAGAAATCCAATAAAAGAAAAAAATAGAGAATCGGAATAATTTCGAGTATAGTAGAAGAAAAAGCAAATCAAAGCAGCAGAAGATCTTCGCTTCCCCACGGGAAAGACGACGCGAGGGCCGCTACAACCACCCAATCTCTCCCTCTCTTTCTCCCTTTTGCTCTACTCTCCCACACTTCACTCACAAGACATCGTCTCATGACTTTCCGCAAATGGAAGGGGGGTGGGTAAGGAATCCCATCCTAATCGGGCCGACAGGGGGGGGTGGGATGGATGGGGGTTGCGGCGGCGGATGTGGGCAACAACAATCAACCCATACCTGGTTTTCCGCTTCAATATAACGGCCTTTTATTTAGGGTTGTATTTATCTTTCCAGATCCTATAATCCGAACACACACGCACAAACTCGTTAGCACATGGTCATCTTTTTTTTTCCCTTTGGTTTGCGTAAATCGGAAAGCAATCCAATCGGGGGTAAATGGTTAAAAAAATAGTCCTGGGTCCAGCTTCCGGGGCTTTTTCTTCTTTTTGGAAAGAAAAAAAAGTTGGTTGGTGATTGCGGGCAATGAAGGGCGACCGACTATCAAAACGGGGGTGCCGAGGCTACTGCAAGTCAAGATCCAGATCGTGACCAAGACGAGTTTCGTCCATGATCCGCTGGTCGTCGGCTTGTCATGGTCATAGTCGTCGTAGTCGTCGTCGCCCTTCGCCGTCGCTGTCATCCGTCCGTCCGTACGTGCCATCCGCGCCCCGAGCGAGGTTACCGTCGTTGTCGCGATAGCCGTGTGGTCGTCGCTTTTTTTGTCTCGTTCCAAATCCTTCCCGTTTGTCTCTTTCAAGCCCGCACGGCCGTTCAAACATGTTTACTACTGTCGCGCCATTATGCATCTCAATTTCCAGCTCGCCATGATTTGATGCAATCATCTGACGGGTGCTCCACACACACATGAACGTGCTGAACTCCGTCATCGGCTACACCCTCCCACCCTTCCGCTGATGCTTACTCCAGAACCGAGGCCAGCGACACGCTGCCACGTGTAGCGCCGTAAACAGGCTTGTGTGCACCATGCACCCAGTGCGCCGGGTCTAGAGGTATGCCCGCTTCCACTATTGGCATACGACGACGAGGCTTGCACCAAACGGGCAGCGTCCTAGTGCTGGTTTTTTCTCCTCTGTCGGTGGATGCAATCATGTGTGCGTAGCGGGGAACTGGCAGCAAGTGTGACAGGTCGTACTGCGGGTGAGGGCGAGGGCCGCCGTTCAGCGTCCGCATCGGCTAAGCGAGGGGACTGTCAAAATGGTGCACTCATAGCCAATCGACTAGCCTTGGCAACTGCGCGTTCAGACTGGCTGGCCTGAATGGACAATAGCGCCGTGTGTTGGATTACTCCATCACGCCTGGTGGCTTGGTGTTGAGGTTGATTGAGGGTGCAACATCGGCTGGGACGGGATGGCGCGGGTCAATGCCATACTAGCAGCTCGTCATGTCTTGCATTGCGCGCGCTCTCTTGACACGGCATAGACTGAGGCTCGGTCCGGGGCTGATATGGATCCTTTGGTCGATGACGAGGGTAACGAAAGTGGTGCGACTTACCATGTGTTGCCTAATGTTTTGTTACCCTTGGATTCTGCGAGGCGCAGGAATTGAGCCGCTTTGAACTGGAGACAAGGCGCAGTCAGCATACATCCACATCAGCCGAGTTCTTGCTGCTGCCCAAACAGTGAGGCGGAACAAAGGGGGACGCCGTGTCTCAGTGGGACATGGCGCATGATGGACTGAGGTCCAGGCTGTACACTCTTTTCCAAGCTGACAGTTCGCGTCGATATTGCATAGACTTGACCGGTCAAGCGGATGCACAAAGGAGCATAACGACCGCAAGGTAGGGGAAGAGGGCTGACACATCTTTGCTTACCTTGTCTTTCTTCGTACCAAAGCCCTCGATGTAGCACCAGGCTACCTCATTCATCGCATCCGTGTCGCCCAGGTTTGCAGCTGTTTCGTAATATTGCTTCGCTGCTGTAGGATCTTTCTTGATACCCCAGCCATTGCGAAAGCAGTTGGCCAACTCATACATGGCCAGCACAAGTTCGCCTTTGGCTGCACCTCCTTTCTTCATGCCAGCCCCAAGTGCTAGTTTTTCAACTTCAGCACTGTTTGATGCTGCCATGGACAAGTATTGAACCGCTTGCTCCTGATTGGATTCACAACCCCAACCATGGCTGATGCATAGTTAGTAGTGAATTGCATCAGATACTAACGAGTATTCACGTGTCGATTGACAACTCTAGATTGCAGTTGGGGGAGAGATCTTACCGCAGGGCGAGGCCGTAGAGAACTTGAGCTAGAGCATTGTTCGCACCATTGGGATCAGCAAGTTTTCCAAACAGGGACGTTGATGCTTCAAGATCTTGTTTCGTTCTCGTCAGTTTCGCCAGCAAGGCGCACACCTTTGTTGCAATTACTCACCTCCATGCTCGTGTTGTCGAATAGCCTCCTGTATGGTCTCCTATACAAAGCTTAGACCGACTCTTGTGCTCTCCATAGTTGAGCGTACCTCATCCGCTGGAGCGCCAATGGTTGCACTGCGACGCCTTGGGGTCGTCGGTCGACCTTGTGACATTGGACTCATGGGCACATGGCTTGGTGTACTGGGCTGGGAGCCGTGTTGCAGCCCTGATGTAACCAGTACTGTAGCCCTCCTTTCCCATTTGGCCTCCTCCTCCTCCGTTCGTGCTACTCCATCTCCACCCACTTCTGGAAGATTGTCCGGTACGTTTGCCGATGCGTTCGACTTGCTTCGCCCAAGCTGGAACCGATGCCGCTCCCCTCCCGACGTGGAGCCCTGTGACGAGGTATTGCTACGACTTCTGAATCTGGGGAATTTGCCTCGAGGTTCAGGTGACAAGAGAGGGGAATCGCGCTGGGGGTCGCCGGGAAAGCTGGGGGGCTCAATCGTCTCTTGCGTCGACGTTGTGGTGCGAACGAACTGGAACTCTGGGGTATTGGGAGAAAGGGTAGCCCCTGTCGGGGATGCAGGGCTTGCGCCATCATCCCTGATTTTGTCCTTCTTCTTCAACAGGTCTTTGAGCGTCATGGTGTCTCGCAAATTTCCTATTCTCGTGTCGGGCTTCGCGTTGCCAGCGTAGGCAAGGGGTTACGCGGCAGGAGACCTAGTATTGTTCGAGAACAGCTTCGCCAAAATTAGAGCGCGCCGTGCTTTCCCACTATTGAATCTTCAGGGTATTCTTATATCTTCGCAAAGTCATGGTAAATGTGGCAGAGTCGCACATTATGCTGGCGCGGGCTGTCGAATTGTAAGGCACGACGGACAGTAGGATGGAGGCTAAGCAGTAGTTCCAGCCCGCCTCAGCCTCCACACGGCACCGCCCCTGTCAGACCCTACGTACACGGTGAGCACTTGCAACGCTAAGCATACGCAAAAACAACCTCATCTCTACCGTTATGCAACCGACTACGCTTCCGGAACACACGGATACCAGGTGCATCTTCATTTCTGCTTGGACAAGGCAACTTCTGGATGTTTGGAGCCTCAAGTCCTAGCCGTTGGCACATCCAGCGCTATCCATGCGTCGACGTTATGCCTATGTACGCAATCCAGTTGCTTACAGCCGCCACATTTATAAATACACCCTGGCAAACGCCTGCAGCGTATATGCAGCGTAAAGCGCATACAAACGCGGTAACAATATGTCATCCTGCAGATCTCTCACCACTTCAATATCCAATCATTCACAATATGTACACCAACGGACGGAGCATATTTGTATACTTTCATTCTTTTTCTCGTTACATGTGTTTTACTGACTTCTTTCTTTCTTTCTTTGATTCGTTGAAACATGTGCATAGGGTACAGCCCCTTGAAAAGAAACGAAAAGACAGCATAGAAAATCGCACGAAGGGGTATCACTGAAAAGAACCCTGAAAAGCCAAGGCCATCCCTAAACAGTCAAGACGAGCTGAACGCCATCAGGACGAAAACCTACCAGGTTATGAGATACACAAACATGAGACTTGAAGAGAAACAATTAGGGTGGCCCAAATTGGAAACAGAGCAAGGGGAAACATACAGTATCCAGGCATCACCAGACCTTGCTCACTGGTCTGCATCGAAGGGAACGAAGTCTGCCTGCTGTGTGAACTGAAGAGGCTCATGGTCAGCGCCGGCCTTTGGTGTAATCTGCCCCAAGTTATTCTCGACAGTCACCATATCCTCGGGGGTTCTGGAACGATTAGGCGTATTCGACGAAGGAGAGCCTGCTGGTGAAGAGAAACGCGTGGGCTTTCTCATTCGAGAAGCACGGCGAACATGTCCCAGACGGCATTCATCGCCGTAGCGACATGTTCCTGTGTTGGCAAAACTAGGGCACTCATGTGCATGTAGTTCAGCGCACTTGTCTCCCTTCTCACAGTAGCCGAAGTTTCCGAACGCTTCGCAGTTCAGCGCAGCGGGATTAGTGCGAACATGAGCGAAGCGACAGCCATCGTTAGCACATCGACCAGCTTGGAAATGCAAGCAAGTAGGCGCATTGTGTGGCGAGGCCTCGTGTGATAGAGAGCACTGCTCCCCCATGGGACAGGCGTCTTTGTAGAACCAGCGTTTGCACACAGCTTGCTTGTCTGGATCATGGACGTAAGGACACCCATGCCGTGAGCACACACCTGTCGATGCGTTAGAGGCAAAAAGGAAGAAAAGAAGAGTTTCCGAAAGTGTCGTTTCGTGGAAATACCTGTGGAAGTGAACGTGCGACAAAGATTCTGGAGATCCGTTGAATGATCGTTCGTCGAGGCGGTCCTGTTTGGTGGTTGCTTCGACGGACTTTCACTATCGCTTGCCTCTCGAGACTTGGTCGCATCTATGGGCTTGTGTGTAATCGGGCGCTGGTATGGATGATAAGATCTGTTGGCGAAACCATGACCATAGCCACCTCGCTTTCGATGAAAAGCGTTGTGGTATGGATTGGGAGAATACCCTCTGGCCTGTGCATTCTCGCGCTCTTCTTTCTCTTTCTTCAGGCGCGCAATATAACCTATCGTCAGACTGTCAACATCTTGCGCTTATGGTCCACCTATTTCGCGCTTTTCTATACGCCTCTCCCACATACTCTTGAGCTCTGCATAGGCGCGTATTCGTTCCTCCTGTGAGGTCATCGCAGTGATTTGTTCGTGCGTGTACGGCGGGGGCCCCGGAGGTGCCATATTGCTGTCGCCTGATCGGTTAGCAATGTACGATGACAGTTGGTAGGCGGGCGACGGCGCGCGACGGCAAGTAGATTGAGGTTGTCGAAGGGGAAAAGCAGCGGGGCAACAAAGAATAATATAGTACGGTGAGGCAACGCCCATACTTGGCAGGGTCCAGGTCACGTGTCGGTTTCATCATATTTATATTCACTCTATGACAAATACATTCATGCCAAGAAGAAGTATCATCTATTAGTCCCACCACACCTGTCAGACGGTGCTGATGTTGTCTAGATGCAGAGGGGGTGTTCGATAGTCACAAAGGGTAATGTAGACAGAAAGATAAACATGCGCAATCGCTGGGCGCGCAACGAACATCCCTTGTTGATTCTCTTACGAACGACACCCTTTGTGTGAAGGCCATGATGTTTCCTTTCTTTAAGCACATGTTAGTTGTTGGCCGTAGTCTTCGAGATGTTATCCATGCAAATATTGATTACAGGTGACTTCTACATAGCCCTTGCCATACAAGAGAAGACAAAAAAGCATCAAGGGCACCGATGCGTCTCGGTATGTGATAAGTTATAGATAAACGCCGTCATGCAAAGAGAGCTTCTGAGCCCTGTTTCCCAGTAACTCCGTAAGAATGCTGTGATCCTAGACGCCATCCCGCTGTGAATGTTCCATTTCCCCCCATGAACCAGTACCAAATATTCAGACCGCGTTACAAGGCGGATGGTTATGAAGAAATGCCCTGTTTATTATTCATCCGCTTCCTCGTTCAACTGCTTACGTTTGATAGCAAGGTCTGCCTTCTGCTTGTCGATCTGGTTCTGGACACGTTTCTTGAAGAGGACATTGGTTTGTCGGTCGCGCTGCTCTGTACTCTGAATAATGGCCTTCTCCAGCTCTGCGATTTCAGTTCGGAGCTGTTCCTGACGCTGCTCCTCAGCTGCGGCGACTTCATCTACTTCGTCACCATCCTCATCAGAGTCGGCATCGTCGTCGTCGTCATCATCATCGGCAGAAGTGGCTGCAGCAGGTGTCGAGGCCGCAGTCTCGGGCTCGATAGTTATGTTGCCGTTATGGCTAAGAGCATGCATGGCGACGTCATGAGCAGTCGTGGGGGTGCCGACTTGCTCGACTTGAACATTGCTCGAGTTTGCAAGCAATGCATTAAGCTGGTCATTGTCGCCGGTGAACTCAACTTCATCATCCATGAGACCCTCTGCAAGCATCTGCTCAAGATCGTTGGCGTCCATCTCTTCTGCTTGTGAGGCGTCGACCATTTCCTCGTCAGCCTCTTCTTCCGAGCTTGACTCCTCTTCTGAGCTCTCCGCGTCGCTGTCTATCATCTCATATTTTGTAGACACTGCGTTTTCGTCCTCGGCTAGCAGTCGGTTCATCTGCGCTTCAGCTCGCTCAACATCGATGTATGATTTTCGAGGGCGGAAACGTCGCTTGCGAGCCCATTTCATGGGCGGCGTCAGGCCATGAGGGAAACGGTGTGTATCCGGGGAGATGTAGGACGGCAGCGGATACTTTTTTGCCTCTTCCTCGTTCTTAACCTCGTCGAGGACCAGCAGCATCTGGCAGACATCTGCAGTCTTGACCCAATCTTTCTTGTTCCAGCTCTTCAGAGATTCGATAACGGCGGGTAGCTCGACCATGGTAGCGGCGTACATGCGGTTCTGTATCGTGAGCATAGCGCGACGGCCCTCGCGATCAAAAAAGCGGAAGTGCACACCAGGGCCTCCTTGTGACATGCTCTTTCCGATTGTCTTTTCCTCAATGGATTTGCGCAGTAGGTCGCAGTCTGGGCCAGGCTTCATCCGCAACACGAACTGGGACTCAATGGCTGGGTCGGCTTCTGCTTCCTCAGCCTCACTGTCATATCCAACACCATACGGCCTCACTGGCGGCTTTCCTGCACCCTTGACTTTCAGAATCGCTGTGCTTCGGGTCGGAGCATTCGGATTCAGGCCGCCCTTTGGCTTTATTGACAACTTGATAGACTGTGTGCGATTGTGCGTCTTGAGTGGAGGAGGCGGCTGCTCGACAGCTGCAAGGTTATCGTCGTCGTCGCTATCGTTGGTCATAGCAAGACTCTTTGCAGTAGGCTTTGGCTTGCGCTTGAGAGCGGGTGACTCGACATGCTCGCCTTCGTCGCGCGCCCTCTTCTTAGGACCGGGCTTTCCTGGAGGAATGGCATTGCCGCTTTCATCAACCTTTGGCTTTTTGTTGTACTTGCGCTTGATCTTTGTTGCATCGCCGTTGCCTGCATCTACTGGGTCGCTAGAGACAGGTGGCGGGATTTTAAACTTGAGCTTCGGGCCTGGCTTTGCGGCAGCCGGTGTAGGCGCGTCGGATCGGGGAGGCGGTGCGGGCGCATCGCTGGGAGCCGCGTCGGGGTTTTTTAGTTTGAGCCTCATCTTGGGCGACGGTACGGATTATTTCGTCGGTTACAATGACAGGAAATGGACATGCGCCTGCGGGCGCGTCATTTGCGGGGATGTGCAAATGTGTACAAACTGGAGAGGGAGGATGGGCGATGGTGGTGATGCGTCGAGGGTCGTCTTGGCGAGCCGCGAAGGTGAAGGGCCAAAGCTTCCAACCCGCGTACCTTCACTCTATCGACACTGACTCTCTTCTCAGCCTGACCACAATGCGCCTGTTCCCACCGTAACATCTACCTCGCCACTGGACCTCTGCATCGATTCCTGTTTCTTCCATACACACCACGTATACGCGCACACACGTACAAGCATGTCCCAAAACGATCTCTTCCTCAGTTTACTGCGGCCCGCCGTCCTCCACATTCTGCGCGCGACAGGCTTCCAACATGGCAAACCCTCAGCCGTCGATACTATCGTCGACTTGACAGCGCGCTATCTATCTGTCCTGGCTGAACGAACTGCCTACAATGCCTATTCAAACCACAACGACCTTGTACCAAACATCACCGACGTACGCATGGCCATGCAGGATTGCGCACTCCTTGTGCCGACCATGACCGCTGGAGAAGAACTATGGAAGGAGATATTGCGGAAGCCGCTTGAAGAATACAATGTTGAGACAGGCGCACGCGAAAACGAAGCGGCACGACGTGACGCCGAAGATACCGCAGACATTACCGAGTTTATTGAATGGGTTAAAGGCGAGCAGAACAAGGAGATTCGGCGCATCGCAGGCACATACAAGCCGGTGCCAACGAATCCGACTGAGCAGCTTGACCAAGAGGAAATGGAGGATTATCTGAATAGTACGTCGCATATGTTGTTGTGATGTTTTCTGGAAATGCTGATTGCGCCTAGCCCTCATGAAAAAGCACAGCAAAACCGGAGTCGAATCGCGTTTCCAAGGGACCGTCCTGGGCGTCCCAGCCGAGCCAAAGATGATCAAGATTGAGGGAGGAGCTGCCGACTCGATAGAAGAATGGTGTCGTAAGATGCGCGAAAGAGCGGCCAAAGAAGCGGAATCAAAACAAGAGAATCGCACTCTTCCGAATCATGCCGAAATAAGAGAACCCTCAGAGGATGTAGTGATGGAGATGGAATGAACCCTATTAATCAATTATGGAAGCATAGCGAAGGAGTTTGGTCACATCATTTTTCTGGCGTTTTGGGTTGTCGTGACTTGGAAGTAAATGGAAGCAGCTGCTTTGGACATTGCCGTTTTGCTATTATCATGTTTATTTCTCGGGCTGGGTGTAGGCACATCTGCCTGAACGGCATAAACAACTCTTTCAACGCCACCGACAAATGGAGCATCTATTGCTGCTAATTAAGTAGAAATGAGATAAAATGATGACTACCTGAAAAAGAAAGCATACAGCAACCTGTCATGGTACATGTGGAAGTGAACTTATGACGTACATGTCTAGCGGAGATGGTCGCTCCAACAAGCTGAGTCGCGATCCAGCACCGCAAGAAACCCACCCACGCTCGATACCAAATTACTACATGCAAAGACTAAAACACGGCCCATGTACACATTAGTTTCCCATGCATTCAAACTAGGCACGAAATTGGTGGGGCTTGAAATGAATGACGGACGCGCCCCGCAGACGTCATAGCAATGACAAGGTGAACCAAAACAATCACCTCAACCTCTTCCACTCAACCCAATTCCCTCCCCATTTCCACAAAATAAAACCTTCACAATCATCCAAAACCCCTAACACATGCCCCTCTAATCCACCAAAATCCAATCCAGCACAAAAACAACAACAACAACATCAACATCAACAATGTCCGCCCTCTCCCCCTCGGCCCCCTCCCAACCCACCACATCCCAAGCCTACACGACGCCCGGCAACCCCACAGAAAAGACACCCCAAGAACAATCGCAAAGCAGCTTCAACGCCTCCGATAATGCCGCTTTTGCCGACCAGCGCATCCCCGCCAAGCAAGCCACGCACGAGCAAGGCCTCCAAAACGCAAAGTTCGAAGAGGGAAAGGGCGTCCACGGCGCACCGGCTGGCGAGGAGCAAAAGGGGCTGAGCGACGAAGATGTAGGACGCCACAAGGAGCTGGATGGGCAGCAGATGGCTATGCCGGGTGAAGGGCGGGTAGCGGATGCGGTGGCGAGCAAAGGTGTGGGACTTGGGGGTGGAGGTGCGCAGCCTGGGTTGGAAAGTGATTTGGATCGGTGAGTCTCTTCTTCTTCTTCTTCTTCTTCTTCTTCTTCTTCTTCTTCTTCTTCTTCTTTCGTGGCGAAGTGGGTTTGGCTGACGGGGCTTTTTTTTACAGGAAGAAAGCAGAGCAGGCAGAGGCGAGGGAAGCGATTAAGGCGGAGAAAGCGCAGGCTGGGACCCAGGGTGGTGCGCTGGGACAGACGGGCGGACCGGCGAACCCTGTGGATAATGCTACGCAGGGAGGAGGTAATTATCCTAATTCTAGTTATTAGGGCTGTGTGAGTGGGATGGTTTATGATGGGACGTGTCTAGATGGGAGATAATGCCGTGATTAATCGTGCATTTTCGTCTGATTAAGTAGTGCACATTTGGATGTGTATTTTCAATAAGAGAATTTATAGAATCGAGGCTAAATAAAGAAATTCTTTCCATGAAAATGTTCATGTCAAAGAAGAAGGTTCAACAGGGCAGTTGCAGTGTTCCCATATACCACTCTATCAGTAAGCTGCTAGCGATGGGGCAATTTTACCAAGTAAAGGAAGAGGAGAATCACTGAGGAACAAGGCCAAGAAGAGGGAAAGTAACAAAATTTGTTTGAATTTCATCCATTGCTCCTATAGAGCTCTAGAAGAGCTCATGGGAAGCAACATAGTATTAAACCATCCCATCCATCCACTGTTGTTGAATGTTTTCCAGCATCTATATGCACATACATATACGACCTGCACCGGTCCCATCTAATCTCAGCCAACATGTGCAACGTGAACGTTATAAACAAACAAAAAATGGCGAGGGCTGCCTCGCGCACTGTCCTGATTCGTAGAAAACAAAAGACCAGAAACAAGAAACAAAACGCCACCGATGCGAACCTACCGCAGCCCTCGGCGCTCCATAGAAGTCGCGGCTGGTGGTCACAGTCATCGAAACGCCAGACAGAAAAGCCCTAAGAATGAGATATGCAAGAGCAGAAAAGAAGAGAGGGGGGAAAAGAAGCAAAGACATTATGTACATCAACAAGACTCATAACCTTGCGACTAGAAAAGGCAACGATCATCGACGCGTAGATAAGGGGCGAGAAAGGGGGACAAGAGCAAGGGGTATGGGCACCTCGTCTAAGAACCCATGTTGTACGTGTCGAACTGAAAGTTGTTCATGTCGGTTTGGGGGGCAAGGCTGGGGTCGAAAAAAGCCGTGTTATCGAACACCATAGGCTCACTTGCATGCATAGTCACACTGTAGTCCACAAACTGATTTGGGTCCACAGGGACTTGGTTGATCAGTGGCATGGGCAGAGGCTGTTGCGATACAGGGTACTGGGCAGCAACAGCAATGGTGGGGTCGAGAGTGTACGAGGCTGTGGTGGCAGGAGCGGGAACAGCGATGGCGGCGGTGCTGGTGACGTCGAAAGAAGTGTTGTTGTCGATGGGCTCGGGCATGTCGTTGTCCGAGTTGTCGGCGGGAGATTGAGGAGTGGGCTTGTTCTCGACTTCCACCTCTTTGATCCAGTTTTGCTTCAGGTACTCCATAGGAGGGTGATCACCACCACCAATACCACCACGCTTCTCGTCACTGCGACCCTTCCTGCCCCGCTTGCGAGGATGGAAGTGGGCACGGCGAAGATGGGCAGCAGCGTTGTAGTAGGCACCGTATACCTTCTTGTTACGGCAGTGTTTACAGTTGGCAAGAAACTTCTGGTCCGCTGATGAATCGACGCAGATGTAGCCCTTCCTACGCGAGGCATGGGCACGAGCAATGTGACGATCGAGTTCGTGAGTGCCACGGAACCCATCGGGTCGCTCGTTGCAAAAGTTACACTTGATCTTTGGATGCTGGGGTCGCACATAGGGCGTTTTAGCTATGACACCAACAGTTTTGGACGAGCCATCCTCTGACCGAATCCTTGTCATCTGAGCATTGGACGACGCAGACTCGGTCTCATCGAGGCTGTCAATTGCTTTTGGGGCAATCTTGCGAGACGCAGCTTGTGCAATGATCTCGCGCTCGCGTTGCGACTGGCGAGAGTTCGTCGACGAGGATGCAGACACCTCGCTCGAGTTACCCAGGCTAGACGCGGCTGAAGTCGACCTCCGCATATCCTCCGCCAGGCACGACTGGTCGTTGTTGTTGAAGAGGGTGATGTCGGAAGAGGCAAGTGCAGGCACACTTGCGGGGAGCGAAGAAGAACAAGACAAAGAAGCAGAAGAAGAAGAAAGGAAAGCTTCACTGGAGGAGCCAGTGAAGGAGAGAAAAGGAGACACACCAGCGGACTCGCTGATGGGTTTTGATTCGACATCAAAGGAATAAGGAAAAGTCCCATCCTCTGAGAGGATGGGCATGGTACATGAAGAGTCAGACTGAACACGCAACATGGAAACTTGATCGAAAAACAGAGGGTTGTAACTACCCTGACGGCTCATGTTACTGGACTGAGTAACAGGCGTCATCAGAGCAGTTGACGGGGTCTGGGGCGAAGAGACATCGGACGATGAGCTCCACTGTGGGGTAGGTGTCAGTTGCAACTGTTGCGAATGCTGGGGAAAGGGGAAGGTGGAGGCGTCAAGGGGCTGGATGCAGGTGCTGACATAGTCGTCAACGCTGTACTCGGCAATGGCACCGTCGCAGCCAGTTTCTGGCAGCGAGTGCAGGCTGGGCTGCCTCTGCATCGACGAGTCAGAGTAGAGGGTGTAATCGGCGTAGGCACCGGTTGAGAGGTCGTTCATGGCCGAATCTGAGCGGTTCATGACTGGGGCCGAGACAGACATCTGGGGCGTGTGTTAGAGCGGGGGAAGGTAGGCGCAGACCAAACAAGATCCATACTGAGAATTGCGTCACGTCTGATGCGGGACAGGGCATTGAGCGTGGTATTTGCTCGGCCGCAGAGGCTGATGTGGGCTGGCAGGCGAGCTGGAACCAGGCGTGATTCCGCTCCTCCTCGGTGAGGTGGGCGTTGCTCATCCAGAAGTTGCGCTTGGCCTGCTGGAGGAAGTCGACGTAGGTGTTGGCATTACTACTACTGCTACTACTGCTAGCGGACAAGGTTGAAGCCATGAGCGGTGGTGGTGGTGGTGAGGATGGAGTTTTGGCGGTAGCGCAGAGTGACGTTGTGCGGTGGGCTGTAGCACAACAATTAGCACGGACGCAACGAGGAAGGAGCGAAGGGCGTGAGTGCCGCCAAACTCACAGGTTGTGGTGGGTTGCAAAGGCAGGTGGTGTATGTGCAGATGCGAATGCGTGGATGAGTAGGCAAGTATGTGAGACGGGATGGACGATCAAATGGTGAAAACGAGCGGGCTGCGTCGGGGGGGAGTCGGAGCCTTTTAGCATGGCGTGGCGCACATGCACATGGGGGACGAGCGATGCGCTGGCTCGCGTCGGCGACAGTCTGACGCCTGCGGCCCGCGCTGAGCTGTGGGCAAAAGGACCAGGGCAGCGCCCAGAAGGGCAGCGTGCCGTGGTGATCATGGCCCCGTACAGCGGCACACTATTGGACACGACCAGCCCGTCCACGCCCTCATTTGCTGCCTCGCGCTGGCGAGCCTGTCAAGGCCCTGCAACTCCCCAGCAGGCCCTTCCCCAGCGAGCATCCAGCGTGCATTCAGCCTACAGCCCGCCGGCGCCCTATCGTGTATCCGCACTGGGCAAAGAGCAGGGCACATGTCCTGCATGAGGTCGCATCTGGCAGCCTGTGCGGTCAGTGGCAGCGCCATCCACCGCACCCTGTGGCCCTGGCGCCCAGCCCACGCCGCCCATCTTCCCCGATGCGACATCACCAGCCCACCACATCGTCGTCATTCCATCCCCCTCTGCGAATCGCGGAAACGGCGGATCGCCCTCAATCGACTCATCTTCGTTAGCTGCCCTGAGCCGCCAATGGTCCAGACACGTCCATGGAGGCGCGTCTTTGGCAATGCTCTGCAAACCACCACGTCCCCTTCCTGTCGTGAACTACCGCTTCTGGTTGGTGCACATCTCGTCAACCCCCCCGGATCGACCGTCTGAATCGTGTCGAATACCACGTTCATTTCACAAGGTTTAATTATCTATACTGCTGCTGCTGCCCTTCTTAGCTCGCAGGGGCATTGGCAAACACCGCACCAGGCATTCCTGGCGACAACAGCAGCTCTATCAGCCTGCTCCGCTTGCGCCTGTGTCGATGCGATGACACTGGTGCCGAGCATGACGACGCTGACGAAAAAGAGAACCTCGACGCCCGACTGCCTTGTGCCTTATCCGACTCTGCCTCGCCCACGCCCACGCTTGCTGTGCTTGATAGGCTTGCCTTGTCATCATGGCCCTCCTGCTCGACACTGCTGCTGCAGCTGCCATTGCACAGCCAATACCTATCCAGCGAAGCCTCAGTCGCCTCTGCAACAACGCCCAGCTCTTCAAAGAACGTGACCACATCCTCCTCGAGCCCCACCAGCTCCGCGTAACGCTTCTCCTCGGATGCTAATTTGGTGCCATCAAACGTGCATGCATCAAGTGCTGTTGCAACAGAGTCTCTGCGTAGCTTTACTGGCTCCCGTGCAAGCATCATGGTCCCCGGCACATAGATGATCCGCCCGCCAGCCACGTCAACGCTGCTGCGCCTGTGCTGCGTGTCCGTGTGTGTGTGCGTAATACTACCATTCCTACCCCATCGCATGTTTGAAGGCGACGGGGGCGAGCACATCTTGTCCGTCACCACCATGATATTGGCCGGGTTGTCGTTCCGAGCACACCATACCTGTGGACTGCCTAATGTTTCACTCGCGGCATGCCCTTTGCCAATCGCGTACAGTTCCTGGGGTGTCAATAGTACCGAGCTTGGCGACCCTGCTACTGTTGCCGCTGTGGTAGTGTCTCCTCCTCTGATGATACACCCTCTACTGCTCAATTCGTACCCTGCAACGTCCGTGTCGAGCGCCGCCAGTTGCCTGCCTTGCCGCTTTGGCCCGACGCGCGTCTGTTGCGCCAAAGACGTGCGAGATTGCTTTGCACTACTAGGAGAAATTGCTGCCCCGCTGCCTTGTGCCTGTGCATCTGCTTGTGCTAGTAATTCCCCCATCATCCCTCTCTTGCTCATCTCCACGTCACATGACCGGACCCGCTTCTTTCTCCTCTGCTCTCCCTCCTTCTCCCGGTTGTTGTGCTTCCTCCGAATGGTATCAAAGTACCCTAGCCCACCAACACCACCTACTCGCCCCTCTCCAGCCGCTTCAACCGCTTCAACCAGCGGTGAAGCACGTGATGCCAAATTGCCATACGGTGTCGAGTGTGCTTTTCTCCGTAATCGCGCCCGAGCCAGACCTCTTACTACACCGCTGCTCACTCTGATGTCATTGGTGGGGGGCAATGTAATCGTCGTCGTACTCGGTCTTTCTTCTCGTGACTCTGTCTCCGTTGGTGGGGGTGGTGATACACTGGATCCGTCTCTCCGTTGCGGTGAGGCCTTATCGTCTCTATCGTTGTCGTCATGACCATTCCCATCGGCTTCGTCTTCGGAAGATGAAAAATTCGAGTAACTAGCAGCCGTAGCCCAGAGTCCAGCCAGCATATCGATGTCACTCGTCGGCCGTCCTGCAAAGTTTGCACTCGGCAGTAGCTCAACTGGCATGTCATAGTAGTCTTCTACAACATGTGGCATCCTGGCAGGCAGTATAGTAATGGAAACTGGGACTGATCCGACAGCAAAAAATGTGTGCATTCACAATAGTGACAAACAATACCAGTCGAACCTCTTTAACAAGCACCACCAGGTCCCCCTTCGCACCTAGCTGAACATATATTTCTTTGTCCGCACACATCTGCACTGGTCACGCTGCAGACTGCACAGACAACGGCAGCAGCAACCCGCGGGGTACGCTGCATCCCGATTATTTTTGGTATACACAAAGAATCGCGAGGCTGAGTAAACCCATCCTGCATCCCCTCGCCCTCTTTCTGTCTACCTCCCAGACAAGGAATTTCCGCTATCCGGCTCTTGTAGACTCCGTGGCCCCCAAATCCGCTCGGAATCCGGTTAAGCTTAGCTTTGCTCATATATTAAACATTTCACACCCCCTTGCAAAATATGCGCAGTCAAATCGCTGAGCCTCATTCGCTTGACCCGGCTACTTGGATCCCCTCAATGATTTGCAACCCCGACACATGCATCCTCTGCTATTTTCAACCCCGTCTAACTTAAACTACCAAATCCTACTGTTTCTTGACTCAAGCATGCAATTGACATACGATGTTCAAGTGTACTTTTTCGTCTTGATTCAAGATATGTGCCAAGCATCGTGCACGTGACATGGACTCCACCATGAGCGAAAAAAAATACATACGACAGCGGGTATTCGCCAGTGGTCTCCCACCTGACTACTAACCCGCCGGTAAACTGTTTAAGTATGGAAGATCAAACGGGTTTCCCTGCTGCCGAGTTTCCTGTGGCCGTATGTGAAGGGAGTGGGAGATAGATTTTTTGTCATTATCGGTGTAGAGCAAAGAACAACGGACTTGGCCGCTCAAAAGCAAGGGAATTGGTATTTTCCCTTATTGCAAAACAATACAGACGTGCATAGTTATCATAAAGGTTCAAAACCGTTTGTTATTCAGAGAGAAACGATATGGAAGAACACAAGTCCTCAGTTTTCAAACACACATTACACACTACAAATTCCATATACCCAGCACTCCCATCCCTTCGCCTACAAAACCTACACACCCTCCCCAAAAATCTCCGCCCCCTCATGCCCACCCCTCTTCAGGAAAATCTTCATACTCTGCAAGACCTGTGCCTTCAAATCCGGCCTACTCAAATTCTGCCCCGCAAAGCCTCCATACGTGCTATCAAACTCAAACGGCTTGATTGCCTTCCAGATAGCCAGGACAGCAGGCGGAGGTAGAGGAATCATATTAGGATACGCCCACATGAAAGAGTAGGACGTTGTATCCGGGATACGATGGGCATTGTTGAAGCCAGACTATGGTGATGGGATTAACAACAAGTTTGACAGAGATGGAACAAGGGGTAGATAAAGCAAGGAAGGGAGGAAACCTACAGGCACACTCATAAACGTATCAGCAATAAACAACTTGCCCTCCCAATGCGCGACCGAACTTCCTTCGAAATGGCCGCCACACTGGACCATCTTAACCTCACCGCCCACCTCTTCGATCGGCGTGACACCGCGCACAAGCTTCCTTACGCCCGTCTTGTCCTCGCGGTTGAGCCATTCGGCGTCGTCTTGGCATATGTACACGGGGCACCCGAATGCGTCTGCCCACTCGAGGTGCGTGGTGTAGAAGTGCGGGTGACTGATTACAATTGCTTTCAGTCCACCTTTTGAATTGATAAAGTCAATCGTCTCCGGGTTCAGCAGCGCAATGCAGTCCCAGAGCACGTTGCCATGGCTGGTCTGGAGCAAAATGGCGCGTTGCCCGATGCCTAGTTGCTTGCGAGTAGTGCTGGAGTCGGCGAGACCGGCGGGGAGCTCCGAAGGCGTCAGAGGTTGCGTGCTGATGTAGTGGATTCGGCCATCCTTGGAGTCGGTTTCGAAGACGTTTTTCTGCGTCTGTTGGTCTTTGGCCAGACTGGTCCAGGATTGGCCCGAGGCTGGGACGTATTGGCGGGGGTCCTATGGTGTGTTAGGTTTTATATCCCCTCTTGGAGTTGACTCTTTTTTTGGTGTTTGCGGAACCAGTAAAGCGTTGATTCGTAAATATTTGTATGACGTATGTATACGTACATCGCAGATGCGGCATGTTTCAGGGTGCTGCGACAGCGGAACGTCGTATTGTGTTCCGCATGTTTCGCAGATGGCTAGGTCGCTTGGTGAGAACTTCATCTTGTGTAATCCGAGGTTTATTGTATGGTTGTATAACGTAAATGTATAGATTCATGGAACAACTGGCGTATGTCATCTGTCAAGGATGTCATAGTTGCTCTTTTATCCGACTACCAAAAGTGGGGTTCACAGAGAGGGGGTCAGCTTCTAGAGCTCAACCTAGTATCAAGGCACATCGATGATGACAAAGTCTTGGACTTCGAAGCTGGTGAATTCGTTCCATGGGCTTCGTGACTGCAGAATTGGGCCTAGCCTTGGAGACCTATCGTGGATGCCTAATAGGAAAAAATACGGTACTGTGTGACAAATTGGAGCGTACTAGACCACGAATCCGTACATTTGTCAGGATTCATCCAAACCCTCACAAACTTAGTCATTTCGTTCAAGAGAGATGATATTTGTTGCGTAATACTGAACATTTACAAAGGCCAACTGCAACGCTCCCAAAACGCCCGTTACCAAAAGCGTTCTCTACTTTTCTAGAGACTTGGCGTCAATCTGTGCTTTTGGACTTGCATTTGCAATTCTCGACCATTCGCCGTTAAAAGCATTGATAAGCCACCATCTCAATTCTGTATCTTTGTCAGTATTAACTCTTGTCTGCACAATAAAACCACTTACTGTCATAGACAATCTTGTTGGCGTTGTGGAAGTATATGCTATGGTCCGAGTCCGGGAACACATGTACGTCGTAGTTTTCAATGCCTGCAAGATCCAACCGGTCCAGTAGAGTAAGTGTGTTCTGCATGTGCACGTTGTCATCGGCAACACCATGCATGACAAGAAATCGGACATTCTTCGCGAGCGATCTCACATCAGTAATGGTCGAGTTTTCGTAGCCATCTGGGTTGTTCTGGGGCGTGTGCATATAGCGCTCTGTGTAGATCGAGTCGTAGAAGCGCCAGTCGGTAACAGGCGCAACGGCCATTCCATACTTGAACGTCTCTCCTCCATCCTGCTCAAGCGTCTTGAGGGTGTTGAAGCCTCCATAACTCCAACCCCATATAGCCAACCTATCAGCATCAACATACTTTTTGCTTGCCCAAATCTTGGCAGCTGCAATCTGGTCGTGCGCTTCGTAGTATCCAATGTTGCCTCGAGTAATGCAGCGCAGCTTGCGACCGAGGAAACCCGTACCGCGTCCGTCTACAGTGACCACAATGTATCCGAGACTCGCAGCAATGTAGGATTGGAAATCAACCTTGAATCGCTTATTCACTTCCTGCGAACCTGGGCCGCTGTATTGGTAGAACAATACAGGATACTTTTTCTTTTCGTCAAAGTGTGGCGGGCGGCGTTCGAGAACGTTGAGTTTGAAACCGTCAACGTCGATTGTCTGGTATTTGAGAATTGGCAACTCAAGTTGGCGCACTAGGCGATCGAGGTCTTTGTTTTCTTCGATTGTCTTTTCGTATTTTTCCTTGTTTGCCGATGTGCTGATGATCTTCTGCCAAGGAATTCCGGGGCCTTTGTATGATATCAAGGCATATGAACCACCGGCCGAAAATGATGCATCGTAGTACCCTGAACCGCTCTTCTCTACGACTTCGCTCTTTCCGGTGCCGTTCAGATACACAGAGTATGCATGTCGCTCCGTAGAGCCTTTCTCGGTGGATATGTAGTAGACCAGGTTGTTCTTCAAATCCACTCGGGATGGCGCCTCGACAACTTCCCATTCGCCCTGGGTGAGCAACACAGGCTTGTCACTGTCCAAAGGTGCAAAGTAGCCAATGTGGTCATAACCCTCGTGAATAACAGTGTCGATGTAGCCATCGTGTTCGCGACCGTTGGCAGGATCTGCTGGTACAAAGGTAGTTTTTTGCGAAACTTCAAACCATCCACCGTCTAATTCTGCAACGTTCTCAGTCCTGATTGTTTTTCCAGTACGTTGTTCGACGTCCATCAGCACTAGCTTGAGGATATCGCTCTCACGGTTTGTTTCCCGAACAAGTACCTGCTTTGTCTTGCCCGCCCAAACGATCTCGGTGATTAGCCTGTTGTCATCTTGGAAATCGTCCTCAATCTTGACACTGAATACCTCGCCCTTCTCAACGTCATAGAATTGCAGCGATACGATCGGATTTGGCGCGCCAGCCTTGGGGTACTTGATATCGCGAACTTCGGGATAATTTTCTTCGCCAGCCTTGGGTCTTTCTCCACTGGGCCGTGACAGAAAGTATTGGACCGGGTACGTCGGGACGGTTGATTCATCTGTGCGCAAAAAGGCAATGTACTTGCCATCTTCAGACCACCATGTTGCACTGTTGCCTTGGAAGACCTCCTCTTCGTATACCCAATCGGGAATACCATAGAACAATTCAGTTCCACCGTCCTTTGTGATTTGGATGACTTCTTTAGAGTCCAACTTGCGCAAGAACATGTTGTTGTCCCGCGTGAAAACGACAGTATCCGATTGCGGTGACAAGGAGGCCAATTGAACCACAGCTCCTGGGTTTTGTGGATCCAGAGGTTCGCCAGTTTGTGTCTCAACATCGAATATCCAGTACTTTCCTGTACCAGAGTGTCGCCAATTCTTCTGGTAATCCGACAGGACCAGTACCTTCTTGAAGTCCTTGCTTGGCCAAACATCGTTGGGATAGACAGATGTCCCGTCCACCGTGAAGCTCTTTTCTTTCATAAGTATTGTTTGTGCTTTTGTAGCCCTTGCCTTTCCCTTGCTCCTGATATCCTCGACGACCAAGTATCCCTCCTTCCCAGAGTCTCTCTCGAGCAACAAACCGTCCTCACCCGATGGGCCTGCTATCCACTCGACGCTCTGTTGTTGGGGGTAGAATCGACCACCCAGAACATCATCCATTGAAATCTTCTTTCCTGAGCCTTTTGTTGAGCTCGCGAGAGGATCGTGTGGCCGGCTCGAGACAGGCTTGTAGGTGCCGCTCATCAAGAAGAACACCAGCGCAAGCGTCCATCCTGCTACGCATGCCGTGCCTACAACCCATAACCATCTTCGCGTCTTTTTATCTACCCCTGTTGGGGTGCGGTATTGTGCGCCCTCGATATCAAACTGTTCGTGTGGGCGATTTGCATCGTCGTCGTCGTCAGTGTACTTCTCTCCACGATTCAAACGCGATGGACCGGTGACTGCTGGGTTGTTGATATGTTCGAGAACTAGCGACGTGGTGGAGATGGACGATATGGAGGCATCGGTCTCCTCTTCTGAGGTGCGCGCGGATCGCTCATCTTTGGTTAGAAGCTCCGCTTCCTCTTCAGGAAGGGCGCGGTGTCGCGGCATCGTAACTGTAACGTGGTAAATTTGAAAGAAACAGGATCACTTTGGAAATCAACGCATCCTCATAAAAGAGCAATACAGATCGCGGTAGACCACCTCCAGAAATTGGTATGTGGCTGTGAGGTGTGGTTAGGGGTTACGTGTATAAGCTAGCATGCGGAGGTGCGGAGTTCACGCGGAGGTGTCAGAGCTGGAGTTCGCCCGAAACATACCAAGCCACTCTTTGATGCAAGGGGGGAATGCCAACGCAACACAAAGAATCTAAGAGATAAATTCCTATTCAAGTCCAAACTAGGACTGCTTTAGAACGGTATAGTTTCCGCTTATTCTTTCCAACTTTCCAACTCATTAGTCCTTTCCTTGCAATGTGATAAGCCGAGCCTCTGAAGCTTTCTCACTTGAACGAAATCGTGGCCAATTTGTTGAGTAATACACCGTCCCCTAAATTTTACTGACATGACCAAGAGGCTACTTAAAACAAGGCGGTAGCTATCTTGCAGAATGCTTGTCCGAAGAATTGTCGAAGGAAGATGTTAGGCCTGGGGGAACCTGGGAAGTATCGAGTGCTAGCGTAGAGCTTTGGCTGGAGGAATCACCCGTGTCAAACAGAACGTGCTTTATCATTAGACTAAGATGGCAGCGGGCCAAGGTAATCCTGGAGTTTTGCTTAGTGGGTATTCATTAGGATTGGCTCTGAAAGTTCCTACCTCCTTCATTGTGCCTACGGCGTACATCTTATCAACTTCAGATCTCAGACCCTTGATCTTGATACGAATGTTGGTGCCCTTTTCAATAACCTGTTCTCCGTCGTCGGTCCATTGCGGCGGTGTGGCGTTCGCGTCAAACTTGATCTCGGCAGGGATCATCTATTCACTGTCAGTGAATGGGTAGGCGCATAGGGAGGTGAGAAATTACACTTCGTCCTACAAACGCTTGTAAAGAACCGCAGTCTACGAAGAAACCTGTGCGGAGTACTGAGGTGACGATGCCATCCATCTTGACACGGTTAGCTAAGCAATCCGCGGTCGCGCCCCCAATTTGCACATACCACCTCGCCTTTGTATGGCCTCCACACAACTGCCTTGTAGTGTACAACGTATTCAGCGGAGCCAGAGCCAGGCATGACTTTGCCATCGGATATGTCGAACGAGTCCAAGATGCACACTATGGTGTACTTTCCCGTACTTGATCCCTCCTCTTTCTGTAACAGTTCGCGGTGGATGTGCTGGCGAATCAGAGGACCAAAGTACGACGGGTGCAGCTGGATCGTCTTCTCGAGTTCTTTGAGAAAAAACATATTGTGCGGTATGCGACTGGCTTTGCTGACAGGGTAGAGTAGATGGGCGCGGTTTTCTTTGAGAATACGAACGGAGTAGCACAGGTGAAGGTGAATAACGGTAGAAGGCGAAGAAAGCCAGACGATGCTCCTTGGTATTATGCGACTCTAAAAGTCTTTATTCTGACGGGCCCAGTGAAGAGTCGACAGTGTGTAGTGAAGCCAGCGCGCGTGTTTCAGCGAGACGCGCCCTCGGCCTGCAAGCCAGCCCTAGTGATTATATCCAGCAGCCCATGCGCACAGCCCACAGTGTATGCGCGCTGCTCGTGGTAGTCCGGGGATACAGTGGTAGCGGATTCGGGGAAGTTTGGTGGAGGGCTGGGAAAAACAGTCGAGTGCTGCGACTTGAGCGTTGAGCTCCTGGAGATGCAGGGCTCCAGGGCTCTCGGCACGGAAAATCATTCGCTAAGGCCCAAGCAGTGACCAGACTCCCACCTGCCAGCTTGCGCACCCCCACACACCCATGCCGTGATACTAACGTTCACTTTGCGCCATCCGCACATCCTTGGGCCTCCACGGACGCTGCCCTGACTCCCCGCAACTCGTCGAGCGCTCGCATCCCCCATCCCCAAGATATGATTTAGCCGCTTGACACCCTCTCGCAACGCCAACACGAGCTCAAGTTCCGCATCCGGCACCATGTCTCTGAATCTGGAGAAACAACTTGTCTTTGTACGTCATTCTTCAACAGACACATGTATCGATCTAACTGGACAGTAGTATGGAGCATACCACCATAACAAAGTAGGCCTCTTCCGCCCGGCCGTTTTCACATGTCAGCTAACGCGCCGCCCATCAGGTTAACGTGGGAATACATATGCTTTGCGTGCCTCCCATCCTCTTGACATCTTTTCTCCTGGTACGGCCCCTGAATTGTCACCGCCCAAGCCCCACTAATCCGAATCATAGCTCACCAACACACCGGCCGTGCCGCTGCCATCATGGCTTTCCGTTCCCAATCTCCCGCTCAACGTCGGCACCGCCGGAGCTGTACTCTACTCGACCCTATATGTCCTCATGGAGCCTGTCGCAGGAGCCATGATTGCCCCGATCCTTATCGGTAGCACCGCTTATGCGAATCACCTCACGTCCACGTATGGCGCATCAGTCAACTCCTGGGCTGGCGCAATCAACATTGCATGCTGGATTGCGCAGTTTGTCGGGCATGGAAAGTTTGAGGGAAGGGCGCCAGCATTGCTAGACAATCTCATTCAAGCCATCTTCCTGGCTCCATTCTTTGTCTGGTTCGAGGTTCTCTTCATGCTCGGCTACCGTCCAGAGCTCAAACGTCGTATAGACCAGGCTGTTGAGCAGGAGATCCAGAAGTTTCAGAAGAGCAAGGAAAAGGGTCAGAATGGCTCGGCAAAATAATTCGATACTTGAAATATGGATTTGATGGCCAGAGCACAAGTGAGGCATAGTGATGTCTCTACCCAAGGTAATAGAAGGATGCGTTCAGGCGGCACTGCCCTAGGATGCGCATGTAATGTATGGATACTACAGCAGAGTGAGCATTGCATGGTGCAAGGCGTATACGGAGTTGTGTCGCCTATGGTTGTTAGTTTTGCACATTTTGTCTGTATATTCCTGCTGGAGGGGTTGCAACATAGTAGGATACCAATCTATACCGTTGTTCGCTCAGACTAGTGTGTTAACGTGTACCAATTCGTTACAAGGTGTCTTTTCTTTGGAAGTACGTTGTGAGCCTTACAAGTGATATTCCCATGGCTGAGGATTCGATCCTTGAATTGTACGTCGAGATTGTGACAGCCAATCGATAAGGCAGCTTGTGGGATGTGAGCTTGTGTTCCACACAGTAGCCACTCTCATACAGGAACTCGCAGGGGCCAGCCGCTTTCTTTTTACCAATTGAAGTCTCCGGACCTTCATTTTCCAGCTTGTGACCTCACCAAATCTCCTCGAATTTGAGCGTCGATGTCGTGGTAAAGTTGGAGCTCGGTTGAGAAACGGCTTTTTTAGGATTAGTGGTTGACGCCAAGGTCCGCGCTTTCCTTCCGAACCGCAGGACTTTCTTCCTCACAGCAGAGCTCCCATCCTCAACTCCATCACCATCTCCCCTCTTCCATACCTGCATCAATCTCAATTGGTTGCAGAGCTACCGAAATAGTCTCTTGAGCAGCTGCAGCCATGTTCTCAAGGGCCATCCGCCAGTCGAGCCGCCGGGTCGCTGCAATCTCTGCCACCAGCAGGATTGCTTCGGTAAGTCCATCGCAACTGTCTGCAATTGCGCCTTCCCCCGGTCCAGCCATCGTCCGCTATTCATGGAACCGATTTCCGATGCCATTGGCTCCACAATGGCGCTTTGTTGATGGAAGTGGGCGGCCTGCGCAGCACTGCGGCGGGACCAAGCTCCCCTCTTCCGAAGATGCAGCGCTGACGGCTTTTTCTACCAACAGACTCGCGCTCCCGCATTCACCAACGCCACGCGCTTCTACGCTTCCGACGCAAAGGCGACCCCAACCGAAGTTTCCTCCATCCTTGAGCAGAGGATCCGCGGTGTCCAGGAGGAGACCAGCCTCTCCGAGACTGGACGTGTTCTCTCCGTCGGGTAAGCCGTCAATGCAAATAAATAGGCAAGGAAACTGACCGCAGGACAGTGACGGTATTGCTCGTGTCCATGGCATGAACAATGTCCAGGCCGAAGAGCTTGTCGAGTACGCCAAGTCCACAACACTATTTCCCCACGGTCTAGCTAACACCCGCCCAGGTTTGCCTCCGGTGTCAAGGGCATGTGCATGAACTTGGAAGCCGGTCAGGTCGGTGTTGTGCTTTTCGGTTCCGATCGTTTGGTCAAGGAGGGCGAGACCGTCAAGCGTACCGGTCAGATTGTCGACGTTCCCGTTGGCGAGGCTCTTCTCGGACGTGTCGTTGACGCTCTCGGTAACCCCATTGATGGAAAGGGTCCCCTCAAGACCAGTGAGCGCCGCCGTGCCCAGCTCAAGGCTCCTGGTATCCTGCCCCGCCGCTCCGTCAACCAGCCCGTACAGACTGGTCTCAAGTCCGTCGACGCCATGGTTCCCATTGGACGTGGTCAGCGTGAGTTGATCATTGGTGACCGTCAGACCGGAAAGACTGCCGTCGCTCTCGATGCCATGCTCAACCAGAACAGGTGGAACAAGGGTAGGAACTTATTGCATTTACAGCAAGATACGGTACTGACATGAATTGCAAGGTACCGACGAGACCAAGAAGCTGTACTGCATCTACGTCGCCGTTGGTCAGAAGCGATCCACCGTCGCTCAGCTTGTCAAGACTCTCGAGGAGAACGATGCTATGAAGTACACCATTGTTGTTGCTGCTACCGCTTCCGAAGCTGCTCCTCTTCAGTATATCGCACCTTTCACTGGTTGCTCAATGGTAAGTCTAGCATGTGAGTTTTCACGCGTGGCCAATGACTAATGTTTCATAGGGAGAATGGTATGTGAATTTTTCTTTGCTGTTGTAATTTGTAATTCCTGACCGCCTTTACCTTTTTGTTTGCATCTGCGCGGGCTTTGTTCTTATTTACTCTGGTTTCTGTATTTCTGGTTTATTTCTGGGTTTCTTCTCTCGGTTTTCTTTTGTATTTATTTCATCTTCTTTTCTACCTCTACCGGCATTGGTCGCGATGAACGCGCCGTTGCCTGCCGTGGATCTGGAACCGGACTGAACCTTCACCTGGACGCTGTCCATGTTTTACAGGCATGCTATCTTCATGCCTGGTATCTTTTACTGTTTACACTCACCCACTCGTCCATAACGGGTCCAACCAGCATTGTTGGTAGGCTGGCCTGGGGCGGTTCCAGACATTCAGACCGCCCCGGCCATGCCCTCCGCCATTTACAACCACCTGCTCTTCTATAGCGGTGTGTTTTGGCATTGCTCTGGCCACGCGCCATGGCCATTTGCTCTTACCCAGCGGCCTCGCGCCTTCCTCTAGACACGACCCCGCACCGTAAACAACCCATCGCGGTGCCCGTCGCGTGCCTTCCCTCGCGATGGGTGTCTCAGCCCAATGGCCGTCAACCTGGGTGCCAAATTTTTCCGCCTCCTCGACTCGGTCCTCTCCCTCAGCCTGAAGTCACTGTAGTTACTTTAGTCACTCCAGTCACTTCCCGGTAGTCACCTCGGGATCCTAAGAGTCCCAGCACTTCCCGGTAGTCACCTCGGGATCCTAAGAGTCCCAGCACTTTCCGGTAGTCACCTCAGGATCCTGAGAGTCACTCCAGTCACTCCAGTCACCCAGCACTTTAGTCGACCCGGGAGTCACCTCAGTCACTCCAATCGTCCCGGGAGTCACCTCAGCCTTCCTGCAAGTCACCCCAATCGCTTCTGCCGATCCGGGAGTCACCTCAGGAGTCACTCCAGCACCCCGGCACTCACCAGCTCCAGTCATTCACTATGGCGGTGCTATCAAAGGTGGAGCAAACCGAGGAGCTCCGTAAGTGGTTCGACAACAAGGTTTTCGACGCTGTCCAACTCGATGCCCCTCACTGGTGGCGTGAGCCTGCCTTCAAAGCCTCATTTGGCCAGGAGGATGTGTTCCGGGACGTCTGCCGGCAAGACCGTCATTGGTTTGCCGAGGGTCTTCTCGAGGTGCTCAATTCCCCGACTCCCCCCTCGCTCGACTACTTCCGTTCTCTCCCGGTAGCCATTCCCAAGATGTGGAAGAAGCACTGGGTCGTCTACCTGCACATCTACGAGCGTGAGGGCCGGAAGCCTCGCCTCTACATTGGCTCCACTACTTCCGAAGGTGGTGCCCACGCCCGGCTCTCTCATTACATCAATCCTGGTGGCAGCGCTATTCCCCGCCTCGTCCGGGAAGCCATCAAGGAGGGCTTCACCAGGACTCACACGACCATTCTCTGCTACAGCCAGATCCCGGAAGTACGTCACCGCCCCAAGACCAGCCAGCGCTATCTCGGCGTCGAGGGTATCTTCCAGATGTTGTTCTTCGCTTGCCGGTACGACAAGTTCGAGCCCAACTGGATCGACATGGTGCCCTGGTCCCGGGAGGATGTCGAGTGGGACCCCCTCTGCATCCGCACTGCCTTCTCTGAGTACGGCCACCGTGACCTCGACATTACCCCCGAGGAGTTCGAAGTGATGCAGGCTGCGAGAGACGAGTATCGCAAAATGATGAGACCTATCCAGGGCAAGATGTACCGGGAGACACACAGGGAGTACCGTGCTGCACAGATGAAATCGAGCCGGGCTGCCAAGAAAGCTTCCGGGAAGTATGAATACAAGCCCTGCAACAAGTCATTCCGTTCCCCATCCGAGCTCAAGCTTCATGAGAACAATAGCCGGCACAAGAAGGTAATGGAGAAGCTCGCCAAGGGTGAGTCTCTGGAGCCATCCCGGGCGTATAAAAACCGAGCTGCACTCAAGGCCCGGTCGCTCGCATCCAAGCGCTTCCACTGCGACGTCTGCAACACCAGCTACCCAGTCCGGGAGAACCTCCTGAAGCACTACAAGACCGACATGCACAAGAAGGCTGTCGCTGCCGCCGCTGCTGCTAAGAACGCCCGTTCCCGGGAGAAGGAAGTTGGCACTGTTCCCGGCACCACCGCTCCCGGCACCACCGCTCCCACTGTGAGTCCGTTCTTTGCTCCAACCAGCACGACCGCTACCAAGCCTAACAAGGCTGTCGCTGCTGCCGGCACTGCCCCTTCCAAGATGCATCCGTTCTTCGCTCCAACCAGCACGGCCGCTACCAAGCCCAGCAAGGTCGTCGCTGCTGCCGGCCCTGCCCCTTCCAAGATGCACCCTTTTTTCGCTGCTGTCGGAAATGCCCGTCCCAAGGAGGTTGCTCCCGCTGCCGGCTCCGAGCCTCTCGACCTTCCTGCCCCCAAGTCTCAGGGCTTTGGTGCATCGGCCCTCAGAACCCAGGGCCTCGGTGGCAACTCCGATTCCGAGTACGAGTACACCGACGACTCCGACTCGGACGTTTCCATGGACGACGTCCAAGAGGACGACTCCCTCTCCCTCGAGGATTGGGAGTAGGCCACACCCCACGGATCTCCTAGTATATTTTTGTTGGAATCTTTCTCATTTACTTTTCATTTCCCGGACATGTCGGGTTCATCTGCACATCATGTTTACGGCTCATGTTTTTTATCTACACTCATGTCTGCTTTCAAACGCGCCGGTTATTTCCGGCGGTGTTCACTTAATGTTTATTTCAGCCTAACCCCCACCCAGGTTCCGCGACAACGGCAAGCACGCCCTCATCATCTACGACGATCTTACCAAGCAGGCCGTCGCCTATCGCCAGATGTCTTTGTTGTTGCGCCGCCCTCCTGTAAGTTCCCGCACGGACCACCACACCACACGCACAGACCACCACACCCATCATGCATCCAACCCATCCCAACTCAACACCAGCCCACCCCAACCCACCCCAAACACTTCTATTGACTATTTCTAACTGTTTAACAGGGCCGTGAAGCTTATCCCGGGGACGTCTTCTAGTCGGTCGCCCTTTTTCTTCAAATCCGATCGACCTGAGTTGTGCTAACCTTTGACAGTCTCCACTCCCGCCTACTTGAGCGTGCTGCCAAGATGAATGATAAACTTGGAGGAGGTTCCCTCACCGCCCTTCCTGTAATTGAGACGCAGGGGGGGGACGTTTCTGCTGCACGTATCCCTTTTTCCTTTGTTGTCGTCGTTTGAAAATTCCGAGTTTTGAGAATTTTCGGTTGGTGTTGGGGGGTCACGTGGCTAACTTTTGACATAGTACATTCCGACCAACGTCATTTCCATCACCGACGGCCAGATCTTCTTGGAGGCTGAGCTCTTCTACAAGGGTATCCGTCCCGCCATTAACGTCGGTCTCTCTGTCTCTCGTGTCGGTTCCGCTGCCCAGGTCAAGGCCATGAAGCAGGTCGCTGGTTCCCTCAAGCTCTTCTTGGCCCAGTACCGTGAAGTCGCTGCCTTTGCCCAGTTCGGTTCCGATCTCGATGCCGCTACCAAGCAGACCTTGGCCCGTGGTGAGCGTCTTACCGAGCTCCTCAAGCAGAAGCAGTACTCTCCCATGGCCGTCAACGAGATGGTTCCCCTGATCTACGCTGGTATCAACGGTCTCCTCGACAACGTACCAACCAGCAAGATCCTCCAGTGGGAGGCTGACTTCCTTGCCCACCTCCGATCAAACGAGTCCGACATGCTCGCCCAGATCGACCGGGAAGGTGCTCTCAGCAAGGAGCTCGAGGCTAAGCTGAAGGAGGTTGCCCAGAGCTTCACCAAGAGCTTCGTTGCATAGATGGGTTGAAGGATGGAAGAGTGTGTACGGTCTATTCCAATGTTCTGAGGGGCCAAAAAGCGCTGATTGGTCTTTGAGAATAGATGTATAATAGAAGATGCGTCTTCACCATCAGCTGTCAATGGAAGATTTGCTTGTTCACTTCACGGATGGCTAGGTATCGCACGCCTGTCTCTATCATCAACGACGACTACTCCTTGTGATTCTGCATGCCCCTTTTAGCGCCCATGTGCGAGTCCGTTCCTGCCTATAGAGATGGTGTTATGGAATGGGCTATATGACAATTGAATGTTTTCTCATGTTATCCATGCTTGACTGTCTACTTTGTGATTCTGTTGAGACGGTGCTAACAATGTTCAACATGAAGCGTGCTAGCGGGCTCGACATCACTACTTCTTTGTCCTAGCACTACTTGCCGTCTTAATTTTCTTCTTCGACATGTAGTGTTGACTGTATCCCCAAAAGGGAGTGGTAACAGGACAGCCACAGAGATTTCGGAATCACTGTTGTCAATTGTACTAGGCACTACTATCAACCTTGTTGGCTATTCATCTCATGCGGCGTTGGAATGCGGATCTGATTGTTCAAATTGTTTGACGCCATTGTCCAGTCTAAGCCATCTGACTGCATTATCCAAACACCATCAATCTATCCAATAGATGCCTGTCTACTTCTTTGTTCCTTGGTGTTGCTCCTCTCCTTCGCTTGTATCGCCATCTTTAAAGGGGTCGTCACCAATCTCCACCGCATCACCTGTCTCAGGGGGCTCATCGTGATACTCGTCGTCCCATGCTGTCCTCAGACTAATGTCATCATCATCTTCGCGTAACCGCTCGGCAGCTTCCAGCGCGCCCGGGTCATCGTGATATTCATTCTCCAAGTCCTCGATGCTTACACGTCGGACACCAGCGCGCTCTTCAGCCTCAAGCTGGGCAGCGCGGGCCTTTGTCTTGCGGTAAACTAGCCAGCCAGTGGTTACGCCCGCAATCAGTCCGATAATGATGGAGATGTAGGACAGTGCCTTTGTGCGCGGGTCCATCTTGCCTCCGCTCTCGGCAATCTTTTCCAACTGGGCACCGATGAAGACGTGGAGCATCAACTTGGGCGACACAATGGCAGTAGCAAGAGCATAAGACGCCCAGTGTACGGTTGGAAATGTGGCGACGGCGCCATTGGATATGGAGTATGGTAGTGGACACAGGCGGTACATGATGAGGAGTTTGATGCCATCATGCTTGAGGGTCAGAGAGAGGGCGGCGAAGCGGGTGTCGTTTGCTACGAGGCGGTGGACCATGGATTTGAGAAGCGTGCGCGAAAGGAGAAACGATGCAGTGCTGCCAGCGACTGATGCTGTTGCTGCTATGAACCATCTGTATCGAGTCAGCTTACTGTCAAGGGTCGCCTGGTAAAATTGCTGGTTTAAACCCACCCATTTGGAAAGCCATAAACGAAACCGGCAATGGTAAGGAGACTGGAGTATCCAATTAAAGGTGGAAAGGAGACGACGAATATCAGGGCCCATAGTATCAGCCAGCCTGCTGTGACATCCCTCCACTTCTTCGCCATCGGCAGCAGGGCGCCGAATATCCGTTCACCGAACACCAAGAACAGTATGCCGCCCACTAATAAAAGTATATTCCCTATAATGAACAGTACTCTCTTGGCAGGTGAGAGTTTGTTGTACTGGTCCAGGGCTCGTCGCGAGTATTTGTCCCAGTTGCCCATTGCGCGTTGCCGCCATGTGGTTTGTTGGCTGCTATGCGAGGCGCTGCGCCGGAAGGTGGACGATTGTCGCTGACTCCATATTGGCGTCTCACCCGTTTCCTCATTCTCAAGCGGAAGCGCGAGGGCGCGCACATCATAATCGGTCGCTGGCATAGCTGCCTCGGTGTTTATGCGCTGTGGTGGCCTGGATGGAGCGACCCGGGCGTACGCGGAGGTAAGGAAGATGTAATGGCAGGTGATGGGGGAAGGGACTGTCAGTTGGAACGGCTCAAAGGGGACATTCCGTGGATTGGTAATCGGGCGTCAGAAACAATCGAGGGTGTTGGTGTAAGATGCTAAAGCTAGTGCTGGTGCTGGACAGCTTTTGGTTTCATCGTCATCCCGGGCGGACGAACAATGATGCACCGCCGCATCCGCTCTGCATTAGGCGCGTACATGAGATGTGCCGGGACAGCCACGGAGCCGCAGCGTGGCTGAGTCCTTTTATCCAAGGACTCGAAGATGGCGTGATTCGAAGAGCACACGTAGTTTGTTTTGCGCAGACGCGCAGGGCTTGCTGCAGGTAAGCTACCACATGCCAGTCATGGTGTGGATACGGGATGTACATAGACGCTGCACGCACGTGACTCTGGCTAGCCTCAGCCTCCGAAGTGTGGCGCCCCCCTCAATTTGGCCTGTTAGCAAAAGAGGGTTGAGGCATATGTAGCAGCTTCGTTTCGTGGTGTCGAGGCTCCAATTGCCCATCAACCCGTCGCCAGCCTTGTCCATCCCGCATCTGGCCAAGACTCTCCCTCTCATACCGTTCCCATCCGAATGCATCTCGAGGCTCCGAGGGCCATGTAGGGACTGCTGGGATTCCAGTGTGCAGATTGCCTGTTCCCGCTGTATGGTTGACCTGCTGCACGGTGCAGGCTCCCCCCACCCCTACCTACGTAGTTGAGCGGCCTGAGCCTAGTCCCTTGAGCTTCATTCGCGCTCGCGATCGCCCGCCCCCCAAGGCATACATTGGCTTTGTCCTCTTCGGCGCACTCGCTGTGTGTCCTGCAGACAGAAAGCTGTAGGACAAACTGTTTGCCCTTCCCGTTGCTGCTTCACTCTTCTGAACGCGCCGGTCGCTCTGCCAATAACCGCAGTACTTAATCAGTCCGACGGCCTCCTGTCTCGACCTCGCTCTCTACCCTCGTCCATCCCACGCGCCCCCCTCACCGCCATATCTACCATTCCCTTTTTTTCTGCATCTGCAACTAATCAACATGGTCGCAGACGATTTGTATGAAAAGGCTCTGCCTGTACTGCAGGATGATGCCTTAGACGAGGAGGACAAGACGGACAAGCTCGAGGAGCTCATGCGCAAGGAGACCAATCTCACGGGCAAGTCTCTCGAGAACATTGTCCTCGACTGCCTATGGCGTTACCGCGATGCCGGCAGCTCATCCAGCTCTCCACCCAGCCGCCATACCGTCATCCGCCGGCCATCGCCAGCCCCGTGGCAGGCCAACCGCGCCCCGACTCCTGTTAACAACTCTCCACGCATGATACATCCCCCTCCAGGCTTTGGAATAGGCCCTCCTGGCTTTGCGCGCACAAAGTCTTCAACCGCATCACCTTTTACTTCCCCACGACCCTCGCCACGGCTTGCTTTTTCAACACCCCATATTCCCCACAGCCCCAGCCTGAGCGCATACCAATTCAGCGAATGCGCCAGCCCGAACACAGAAACATATGGTGATCTTGATACACAGTCGGTGGATTGGCTAGTCAACGAGGACATTGCAGGCACCGAGTCGTCGTACGTAGGCGATGGTACGCTCAATGGTGCCGCCGCTGAATGGGTTCAGCCGCAAACTATGGATATGGGCCCCTATGACATGTTACGCTCAATCCTGCGTGACGACCGGTCAGACGAGGAGCTAGAAAAAGTCCTCGAGGCCAACGGCTACGACCTCAGTGCTGCTCTGCTTGCGTTAATGGGTCAGCAGATGGAGGCATCACAGCTCCCCGCTACGCCTGCTGAGCACTCTGGATATCTCATTGGAAAGTCCATGGCCCCGACTTTTAGACCTGCTACGCCAATTGGGCAGCAAAAGAGCAATATTGTGTGCAAGTACTTTTTGTCCAACGGTCATTGCGCTAGGGCGGATTGCCGGTTTGCTCATGACACAAGCAAGACTTTGTGCAAGTAGGTATCTAGTATCCGTCGAAGCCTATTCAAATCTAACATGTGGTCAGGTATTTCCTCAACGGTAATTGTCTGGCTGGAGATACTTGTCTTTTCTCACATGACCCTTCTGCTCTCATGGCTCGTATGGCAGTTTCAGATGCCTCAACCTCGCCATTGCCCAATTTCCAGATGTCCGACTATGAATTCCCCACTCTTCACTACAATGGCTCTCCCCTAGGTACACCATCTATATCAACTACCGAAGCAACTGCCTTAGAACAACTCTATGGTTTTACGAGTGGTGGTCCTACACGTCCTCCACCCGGTCTTAGCCCCTATGCTAATTTCACGCCTGGAGCCGGCAGTCGGCCTCAATCAAGGACAGGCAGCCGTCAAGTTTCCCGTGCAACCACACCCTCTGTGCTCGCAGTCGACGACAAGGACGCTTTTCCTGCCTTGGGCTCTGCTGCAGCTGCAAAGACTGGAAAGCGACACCACGGAAAGCGGGGTGGTCACGGCAACAAGGATATTCCAGGACCAAACCTCGCAGACGTTGTCCGCATGTCGCCTTCGCCAGCCCCTGCAACTCCCGTTCGAAAGGGTCTACGACCAACCAAGAGTTTCAATGGTTCTCGCGAGAATAGTGCGGCTGCACAGGCAATTCCCGCTCCCCAGCACATTCCGTGGCTAGTCACTGGTGAAAAAGGTAATCAGGCATATCTCGATGCTCGTGCCGAGGCTTTCAAACACGGCAGTCTGCGGAATAAGTTTTTGCAGAGGTAAGTCATTGTTAGAGTGTACGAGTGAGAACGTACTGACACGTATTAGTGCTGCACAGGCCTGGAACCGTAGTGACTCGCGCGCGGCCAAGGCTCTTAGCCTTAGAGGACAGACTGAGAACAACCTGATGCGTGAGGCTCATAGGGAAGCTGCCCGTATTCTATACGAAGACCGTAACAAGGATAATGATAGCTCAAGAGAGCTGTATGTTGATCTTCATGGTACGTACACATCTAGTCAGGGATAGCAATCATTGCTCATACCTCTCAGGTTTGCATCCAGATGAATCGGTATCGTATCTCGAGGGTATTCTGCTGAAGCATAGCTCATCTTCCCGCCCGGTTTATGCCATTACTGGAACTGGTCACCATTCAAAGAATGGCAAGGACAAAGTTGGAAAGGCTATCCGAGGTTTCTTGAATGAGTGGAGATATGCTTTCCGTGAGTTCTCTGTGCCTGGCGATCGTAACAATGTCGGCGGCATTCTTGGTATCGACCCGAGTAGCTATGACAAATCCGTTGCAGAGCGGGCAAAGGAGTCGGAATCAGATGCAGACAGTAAGAAGGACACCAAGATCCGCATCATGAAGAGAGATGATGTAGGTGATGTACCGAAAGAGCTTAAGCGGACTGCTTAAGCCTACTGGGTTGGATGTGGGAGGGTACTTGATAGGTAGCAAGAAATAAGAAAGACTTTACTACATTCCTGGCGCTTTCGTTCTCTCATAGGCGAAGGTCTTGGAGTCGGGACTAAGCGGCTTGCGGGGTGTCTAGATGAGAGAGGTAGGTACGGCATAGGGCGCGGCTTCCTTGTAGCTTTAGCTCATTCTCTCTCACTTCAGCACACCCCTGACCTTGCCCTCGATCTGCTTTTTCCAGCGAGTCGAAGCCGTCCAGCTGTACTCCATATACGGTGTCCCAGGGACTCATTTGGTCAAGTCTGCCTTCACTCTGCCGCCATTTCCGCGAGTCAACTGACCTTATATCAACTTCACGCTTCAGCAGTCACCGTCTTTATCATGACGTCTCGCCGACCTAGCACGGCTAACGATGCAGGCTCATCACGTATGTCTTTAACATCAGTAGAGGCACTGCTCTGGGGACCGGAAATGAAAAAACAACATGCATTCCTTCTCACAGAGATGCGTGCACTTCAGAAACAGAATGAAGGCTACGATGCTCGCATACGAGTTACTGAAGCTGTTGCAGCAGCCACAGAAGCCACCGCAGCACGAATTCGTCACTTGGAACAACAACTCGCTGCCATCGAGGCGGAAAACAATGACAGGACTTTCGAGAAGTGGGCTTCGGGCGAAATGACGCGACTGAGTGTTTTCGTCGATACCAACAAGAACATCAGAAAAAAGCAGACTGAGCTCGACAACAAGGTATTGAGCATATCAGAAACGTTGGGGAAGCTCTCACATAGACCTATGGAATTGGACACTGTCCTCCGACGCCTTGAAATACTTGAGCATAGTCGCAAAGAGGATGCCGATCGGATCCAAAATTTGGAAGGAGAGATCGGCCGTCTCAGGTCTGTACGGGAAAGCGAAACTACTGATAACTTGTGTTCAATAGCGGGGCCAACTTCAAAAACATACACCGGGACAGAATTGATAGATTCACAGCTGCTTAATTGTGGGATAGTGGACGAAACGACTGGACCGAATGGCGAGTCAACACTCCTTTCGCAAACAACCCCACGCGAGGAATTGCAAGTCCCTCAAACTCCTGTGATACGAACAACGTGAGTACTAGCTCAAAAATATTGTGGTTGTTAAATTAATCACTGACCACGACTTGCAGAATCCATGGTGCGACCGTTGTTGTATCTCCTACCGAAGACTGGCTTCTTCCACCAGCTAGACCGAGGCTATTGCAAAGACCCTCAATCCATGATGCAAAAGTACCACGCCCTATAGAAGAGGAGATTTTAGAGCCATCACCGGCCGAGAATTTATGTTCCAATATAGGCCATGCCTCTCCACCACCTACACAGCTTGTTTTTAGAGGGCGACAACGCAAGAAGCCTATGCCTACGCTTGCGCCACAGCAGAAGGGTGCTCCGATTCCTAGAGACGAAGCTCCAGCAAGCGTAGCCCCAGCCACACAGCTCGTAGACAGGAGACCACTCCGAAAGCGGAAGCAACCCCATCCCGAGCCTCAATCACAGCGACTAACGCGTTCTTCGGCTAAGAAAATGGAAGCGAGAGAGTGTGAGATGCAGGCATCGATAGGATTGAACAATGTACCAAGAGTTCAATCGACACCTAAAATTGAGCCGATATCCTCACCACGGAAGAAATTGAAGGCCATTGGTTCACCAAAAAAGAAGAAAACTTCCACTCCCCCTCCGGTGGTCACATGTCCAGAAGTTCAAAAAAGACTAATAGTGAAACTACCATCTCCACGAAAACCAAATCGTGTCGATACTGGTCTCATAAACCATTCACCAAGTGAAGCGGCCAGGGTAAGGAAATCACCGCGAAAAGCAGGAACTGGACCACGATCATCCTTCAAAACACCTAAGACTCTCGCGAGCTCTCGGAGTAGGCAGCCTCAAGATGAATCAGTCGCCATTCCGGTGAGGAAAAAAGGACCAAACTGCGCCGCCAGCGACAACTCCCATTTGTCATCTCGAACAGCGAGCCCTGAAAGGCATAACTTCCTTGAAAGAGCATAGTCCTAGCAGTCATTCCAATATTGAAGAATAGCCACAGTTGAGGAAGTGCTATATCAGATATGCAAGGTCTTGATATCTCCAGAGGTCTCTAGGGCGCTCGTGACCTCTGGGATTTGTGCATGTGACACTACGGAGCAGGCTACGCGTTACCTTATGTCTCCTTGAACTCATATATACCCTCTCTATCTGCAACTGGAACTTCCATGTTGGCCTCTTCGATATCCTTTCCATCAACTTTAAGACCCGCACGCATGATATCACCAGTCTTTACTGGACCTACACCTTTTGGCGTACCCGTAAGGACAATGTCGCCTTTCTCTAGCGTCATTACTCTACTAATGTCGCTTAGCTGTCGCGGAATGCGGAAAAGCATGAGTTCGGTGTTGTCAGACTGCTTCATCTCGTTATTGACAGTAAGCCAAAGATGGGCATTCTGGGGATTTGGAATCCGGTTCTTGGCGATGAAGTTACTGATAGGCATGAAGGTATCAAAGCCTTTGGCGATGGACCAGGGGAGACCTTTCTTCTTGGCTTCGTCTTGCACATTGCGCGCCGTCATATCAATAGCGAGAATGTAACCTGTTCGGGAGAAATGTTAGTCTTATATTGTCGTTATCTACTGCATATTTCAAGTAGGGGTTTAGTTGTTACTTCGAACATACCTTCAATGGCATCTATAGCGCCTTTGGTGTCCTCTGGGTGGAGATCCCGAACTGTCTTGCCCATGACGAGGCCTAGCTCAACCTCGTAGTGCATGATCACACCCCAAGGTCGTAGCACAGGCCCCGCGCCAGGAAGCAGTATAGACGATGGGGGCTTGAGAAAGAAGAAGGGTTGCTTGGGAGTTGCACTCGAGAGCTCCTTGATGTGATCGGCATAATTTCTGCCTATACACATTACCTTTGAGAATGTTAGCCATGTTCCCAACCTGCAACCTACTCCCTGTCTACCCAGCTCCAACGATTGATTGTTGACAGGTATAAGGACTCCCACAACAATAAGAACAGCAGCCCTCCGGTCTCTTTCAGTGTCTCCTTCTGCTCTGGTTGCTTATGTCGAATTTCATGAAATCTTCCCAATTCCTCATACACTCGTTTACTGATCATGCGTCGAACACAGTACATACCTTACGGCAATTAGCCCGAATAGCTTGTATACTAGCCATGCTAACCAATTGGTATCCAAAATGACTGTACTAAGAACAATGTGGTCAAACCAGAGGGTTATCGGCAAAGCTCAAGCAAGCGACGTGATGAAGTAGCTAGGAAAGACGTTGCGCGACTTCGGTAAAGCACTCACCCGGCAATTGACGGGGGTGGTGCTCCACGAAAAAACCACGCTACTACGGGCTGTGAACCGAACGTGGGGCAGGCGCGATTGGCAACGTCAGAGCTTCCCTGTGACATGCACATGCATTCCTACATGCCTACCCGTAAATCCAAATTTCGAGTAACAGACTTGATTTCAACGGAGAACTTTACATTCTGCCCTTGATACTGCGAACTATTGTCCAAACCATCTCAATTTGCTTTGAAGAAAGAGACAACATATTTGGCGACAAAAAGACACAATGGCAGAAGACCAGACCCCACCCCAAGAAAACACCATGCAACTAGCAGAAATCCTCTCTGATCTCGTCTCTCTACGCGTTTGTGTACGCATCCTATCAATCCCCGCATCCTCTCTTTCTCCCAGCAACTAACATCACTTTAGGACCCCGCCGCCGCTCTCGCCCTCGTCTCCGTACGCCCCGACTCTTCTCCTTCTACTACTACCCAAGACGCTACGGCTCCCGCTGAACCAAACACGGCTTCCACGACACAGCAAGACGAACCGGATCCTGATCTGAAGCGCGCAAAGGACCTGCTCAAGTTACATTTTGAAGTCAAGGAAGCGCAGAAGAGAGGGGAGTTGAGTCGGGGGTTGGAAGAGGCGAGGGCTATGGTGGAGAGGGCTGTTGGGGGGTGATGGGGAAGCTGATAAAATGAGATGTATGAAATTGCAAGGGATACATTAGGATGATCGGCGTGGGAGAAGAGAAGAGAGCATACCGTACGGATGGAGTTTCAAAGAAGACTTGACAAGTTAGATGCGATGTCATCCACTCCGCCCAGTACTTCCGTCTTGTCAAGGGATTGACATCCTACTTCTCCCAGAATGATCCCACTCGCAGTGCTGCCTGCTGAGAAAACGAGACCAGGCCTGAATGTCAAGAATACATTCGAGAAGTATAGAGCCCATGATACGACCTCCGAATCGCTATCATGACACGGAGTAGTCAATACACGGGAAAAGAAGAGTGCACAGACGACGAGGCAACGGAGCAATATCAACCATGGATAGTCATAAGAATGATGATTAATTCGACAATCTACATGATAGTCTTGGTGCACTATTTAGGATACAAGGGAATATGAGGAGTGGACTCGAAGTTCGCCGCCCAAATCCAGATACCAGTCTTCAATCTCGATTCATGGTCCCGCAGCCAATATCAAAGCTTCGATAATAGGCTTGATATCTACACCTGCTGCACTCTTCTGGGCAAGCAGCACAAGAAGGGGCATGCATCCGGGTAGGATAGCAAGCAAGGGTCGGAGCAGCTTGATCATGTCACGTTTGCGCATTGTTCTGCGTACTATTAGTATGTGTATAGTGAATAATGGATCAAGTGCACTCACTTAGTAGTTGCAACCGACGGAGCCAATCCTGATGTTGCATTTGCTAGTGTCTCGGGCGTAGCGGTAGGTAATGGCGCAGTAGGAACCGGCAGAGGTAATCCTGTCCCTGCAGTGGGAAGGGCCGTCGGTACACTTGGAAGAGGCCCTGCTGGGAGAGATGCCTCGGGGAGAGATGCTACTGGCAGAGACGCTACCGGCACAGACGCTACAGGAAGAGATGTTGTATGGACTGCCCCTTCAGTAATTGAAGTTGTGGGAAGTGACGCCACAGGAAGAGACGCTACCGGCAGAGACGCTGTAGGAATCGATGCCACAGGAATAGGCGCTGTGGGGAGCGTTGTCTCAGGAAGAGGCACTATTGGCACAGAAGTTACGGGAAGAGACGATGTAGGAAGTGATGCTATTGGTAGAGGCGCCGTGGGGATTGATGGCACAGGAAGAGGTGCTACCGGTACAGACACTTCAGGAATTGAATCTGTGGGGAGTGGCGCTACAGGAAGAGACGCTGTAGGAAGAGGTGCTACAGGTTCTGTCGCCACTGGTTCTGTGGCAGGCACTTGTAAAGCTGGCTCGGCTACTGGCAGTGGCTCTGACTGGGGAACATTTGAGATCGGTGCTGGAGGTACTTCCGGGACAAGCTCAGGTATGGTTGAAGTTACAGCTGGGGGTATGGCTGAAGAAGGCTCAAGTGCTGCTGGGGGCACGACCTGAGGCACTTCCGGAGCGAGCTGAGGTGCTGGCTGTGAGATAGTCTCAGTTGGGACCGGAATGGATGCACCTTGCGTTGCTGTGTCGGTAGGCGGCTGAGTTGGAAGAGGGTCTGTTGCGGTTTCGAGCTGCTTTGCTGGTGCAAACATGTCCGATACCGCCGAAACGGTTGCCTTGGTAAGTGAAAACAGGGTGAAGGATGCGTCTAAGGGATTGAAGATGGGCTTTGGAAGAAGTAATCAGATGAATATCGATGGATGATGGCAACTGGTATGAAAGAAGAGGAAGACGATGGATGAAGTAGGATTTCGGGTGATGGGATTTTGTTGAGTCGATGGATCAGAACAGAAGTCATGGCCGAGGGATGTGGATTACAAGATGGCAGGAAGTTCTGGATAAGCGTAGCAGGCACGAGGGTCACATTGTTAGTTGACATCTACGCAGTTGCTCAACTGGGCGTGTCGAACAAGTCCTGGAAACTGTCACTGCAAGTGGTCATTGCTTGAATCGCTGCATACTCAAGCTCTTCATATGCGCTCCTTCACATCCCGAATTGCTGTTCCGTATGATAACCTACTGTGCCTCGCATCCTTGAATGCTAGTGGAAAGAAAGAGTGAGAGATGAAGCCCTAGTTGACAAGAGCTTAGCGTGATGTGTCGTACCTGCATGAACGACTGACGTAATCCTGAAGTTGTCGCCAAGCCCGCGCGGATGGACCCGAGTGAGCTCTAGCTTTCACCGTCGCGTATCTTACCCGCCCTACACCTCACTGGCCTTGTCGCTCTTACAACCACCTACAACCTGCAATCATGGCGCTCAGTATCGACCAGAAGCGCCTTAAAGCGACCAAATTCCCGCCAGAGTTTGACAAGAAGGTGGATATCGAGAAAGTCAACATCGACCTAATGAAAAGATGGATTGCCAATAAGATCACTACCATCTTGGGCGATGAGGATGACATTGTGGTCGAGACCTGCTACAACTTGGTTGAGCAAAGCCAATTTGTTCGTAGACGCTCGCTTCGCCTTCTCGCTAGTGTTGTACTGACTTTTGTCCAGCCAAAGATTAAGGAAATCCAAATCCAACTTACCGGCTTTTTGGGAAAAGATACAGCGCCGTTCTGCAAAGAGCTATGGGATCTCATGCTCAGCGCCCAAGACAGTCCCATGGGCGTACCGCGTGAGCTCTTGGAAGCGAAGAAGGCTGAATTGCAGCAGGAACAAGTATGCCACATCTTGAGTTCGCGTCACCAGCTCTGCTGACACAACCTACAGCTTTCGAAGGCCGCTGCCGATGCAAGGCGTGCAGAGGACCAAGCGCAGAATGCTATGATCGACTCTTTCCGCCAAAGCGAACGTTCAGATCGTCCCGAACGTGGACGCGGTGGCGGTGGACGATACCGCGGCAGTGACCGTAGAGGCCGGGGCAGAGATTTTGACAGAGGCCATCCTCGGCGTGACTCGAGATCACCACCGTATGTGTCTTATCCCTACATTAGAAAACTGATTTACTCACACGGGATAGGAGAAGAAGGCATTCCCCACCAAATCGCGAGCGCGACTTGTATATACCTGGAGGAGGCCGAGGTCGCGGTCGTGGAGGGCGTTACGATAGGTCTCGCGAGCGCCGTCGTTCCCCTTCAGGCAGTCGTTCTGCATCCCCACCACCTCGTCGTGCACGTCGCTCACCATCGTCAGGACCATCGCGAAGTCCACCCAGGCGCCGAACACGTCACTCGCCATCGCTTGATCGCTCCAGGTCTCCGCCTCGCCGTACGCGACGGAGATCTCCTTCAAGAAGCAACTCTCCGCCCCCGAGACGGCGAGGAGCGCGCAAGGACAGGTCTTGGTCTCCTGTCCAAGATAAGAGAAGGCTACCTAGGCACAATTCGCGATCTAGTTCTCCTCGTGATAAATCGAGCTCACCAGCGCCCAGGCTCCGAACGAGATCACCATCACATAGCCCTCCACGCCGTCGACGCCGCTCTCCTTCGAGATCTTCCCGATCTATAAGCCCTGTGCGTGAGCGGCGACGTAGATACTCCACTTCTTCTGGCGCTGACTCAGTTGACTCTCGCGCTGATGCCAAGAAGCGCAAACGTTCGCCTAGTTCTAGCAGGTCCCGATCACGCAGCAAAGCTGGTAAGGGCAGACGCCGTGTCACTCGCTCGCCATCTAGATCACCTATCCGAAGGGATCGCAGCTCGAAAGAGTAGTTCAGCTTGTGTGGACTATCCGTGAATGTCACATACATACAGATCTTGATCCAAAACTGGTCTTCAAGTTGGATTCGAGTAGAAGAATCCAAAGGTTATGACTACTATCGGGCTTGATATCCCGAGCAGATTTCATTCTAATCCTCACCAACGCGCCACCGAGGATTGTAATTTTCCTTCTAAAGACGAGTAAATAGAGTAATGATTCAAATGCTCAGAATAGGTAGCGTCAGTTGTTTTGTACAGTTCGTCTTTGGGTAGCTATATAACTCATTTCGGCATTAAAATGGGTTGCCATTCAATACACATGTATGATTTTTGTACTGTTCACTGTACTCAACCCATGACGCGTACTGTGTGATACTGGAACTCTGCTCCCCGTACTCTCTCCAGACCTGCGGACATATGTAGGTTCAAACTCAGCTTACAGGATTCGTGCCATGTGCCATGCGACGTCAGAAAAAGGCCTTCCCAAGTATCAGAGCGCTCTTATAACGTTGGAAGCTTCGGGATGATGGCAAGATGTAGTCAGGATCGTGATCAGTTTTAAATGCATGTCCCTGGGAAGAGTCATGGGTACTCGCAGTTGCTAAGCTACCTTGTGGTCATGACTAGATTGGTCAGATCTAACGAGGTCACTGAAGAGTCGATAAATAGTGGGTTATAGTGTAAGGGCCTGAATTAGAAAAGCTTCTTGTTTGAATGCTTCTGCAATGGACAGGGTTTGCCCATAAATCTCCTATACTATACAGGTGCCTATCCAGGCCCGACGATAGCTGCAACTATGGGTATGGATGATGTGAGGATCTAGGATAGATGGTGATCAACCTGACTAGTCGCTCTCATAACGTGGCGGCTAACGAGTGAGCCATCACCTCTCTTGTGAATCATCCCAACCATGTCGCAGAGCACCGCTGCTTCTGTTGCGACCCCTATACGCCCAATCCCGTTGACCAGAGAATGATTTTTGGTGGAGAAGATGGACCCTGGAATGGCGGTATCTAAGCACATAATGCGGACGTTGAATATCCAAACGATCTGTCCAGTATGACAGTACAAAGCTCTGTATGTGACAGTTTCATGTGTGATTCCGGGTTCATTTGTAGGGACTTCTCAGGTCGTTTCCATCTCCGATCCAATCGTTTGCGTATTCTCTCACACATGTAGTTGGATTCCGATGGGTTGTAATAGGTATTTTTGATGTTGCAGAAAGACTCTCGTCATCCGTATAAAACGAGGCCTCAACCTTTTCGCCGTTTGCACTGAGCCGCTACAACGCTGATGTCGTCGAGTTTACCTGTATCAGTTTAAGCAAGAGAAAACCCACAGTCGGTATCGAGTTTCCCAGAGTACTAACCTCCTTCGATAGACAGACCCTCATCGATCGCCTTCTCCATGTACGGACTCTCAGCAAAAGGATCCGAAGCAATCTCCCTCGCCGCATTAACGAGTTGCTGAGCCACAAACTGCATGCCGTCCGCGTATGTCTGCTCTTCTGTATCTTTGTCTTTGTCACCATTCCATCTCTCCATACTGTCGCAGACATTTTCTACAATTTCGTGTTCCCACAGATTATCCACCACACCGTCTGTCATGGCAATTACTACATCGTCTTCCTGAATTTCTACACGATCCATCATCGCATTCTCGCTCGGCGTGTCAGGACTGTTTGTCCCTATCTGCCGCGGACAATCAAACCAGTGCCATTGCTCTTGTGTCCTGAATATAACTTCCCTTGTGTCTGGGCGTATGACGAGGATCTGGGAGTCGCCGAGCTGCGTTACGTAGAGGACTGGGTGATTGGGTTCTTCGTTGTCGGCGCTGAGAAGCGCGCCACATGTGGTAGTTGTGCCATACCACGCGCTGGGTTTCGAGGTTGCCTGTTGGGTAAGCTTATAGGCATTCTGCAGGTAGGTGACAGGGTCTGGAGGAGTCGTGGCGTTGTAGGTTGCAGCTTCTACTTCGAGAGCCCAGAAATGGGCGATGAGGCGGGACCAGAGGCTACCCGTGTCCTGTGTTAGCAGTGATCTAGCGCTTTCCACATTGATGGATGGGAGGGCTTTGGTTGACTAACGCTGCATGCCCTCTCTCCCTAGTAGCCCATGCTCCTACGCCGTCATTTGCGGCAATGAAACTCTCGCTGACTAGTACGGCATCATCACCATTTGTAACTCCTCTAATCATCTGCCCGTTGACTGTTGGCCGCCGGTCTCTACTCTTGTTGAATGTGCTGAGCGGCTCCGAGAAGCTCGTAGAGGGCATGGAGAGGAATGGCGGTGGGAATGGTCTCGAGGGTCTTTTTGCAAACAGCGCATATCCAGCCTCAAAGTAAAAGGGTGGCTTGGACTTTGGTGGGTCAGCGTTGGGGGGAACGGGCGTGGTCGTCCCAGTGCCTATTTGTGGCTTCGGTACGTCTTCTGAATACCATCTCGACTGCTTCTGGAGGCTTATGGTCACTGATAAGATGCGCGTTCGTTGTGGTGCAGATTGCTGTGCCGTGGTTCTCCAGGCTTGTGATAGTGGGTGCTGGAGGTGGGGTTTACTGCCAACACGAAAGGCAGATGCGAGCATGCCAGCGGCTGCCCTATTTCCAAGAACAGGGATGGAGTTGATCAATTCAGGGACTTCTTTCTAACCCCGTGGTGAACTGGGGCCAAAGCTACATAAAGAGCCGCTGTGCTCCAAGGTTACGGTATGCGGGGAAACCCGAAAGTGTGGTTTGCGCATAACAAGCGGTGGATCGGGGTTGAGATTAGGGTGCGAACATGAGTCAGCACGTTTAAGGCGTTTGGTCGCTTCATGACGTCTTGGGCGGACTCGATCTGGTGGTGGTTGCCAATTTGCAGGCTCGTCATTAAATTATGGTTATCAACTGAAGACTTGGCCAGACTTGATGGTCATTTCTTGGAACCATCGAGCGGCAAATGCCCATGTCCCACCAGGACCACATGCTAGCGCAATGTAGATTAACTAAGCATGTCCCGATTTAACCTGCGGTCTGATATATTTTTACAACTGTGAGCGGAGAGGGTTTGGGAGTTCCATGGATTACTGGGAGTTACATGCCGGATTATTCCTCTCTCTACACTGATGATCATTGGTATCCCAAGTAAACGCCTGTCGATGCACCACCTACCACGACCCGTTCGTGTGATTCGTTCTCCCATTCCCCAGGAAACCATGACCGTCCTTTATGCCCTCCTCTTCGCAAAGTTCTCCAGGTCCGCCCTTGTGGCCACCCCGAGTACAAACTTCCTGCTTGCATCTGTCACCACCGCAAACTCCTGCTTTCCGCTGCCATCTACTCCACCATCGAAGAATTCCTCAAGTTCTTCGAGTGGTGTCTCCGTAGTGATGACCTTGTATCTTCTGCCACGTCGCTGGAACTTGTGCATGGCCTCTTGAACAGGGTCGCTGTCCTTGACTTTGCCTTCTTTGAGAAGTTGCTGGAGATGTGGGATGCTAATGTATCCAAGCAGTGCGCGATTCGCTTCGGCGATGACAGTGAGGTGTGTATAGTCGCGCTCAAGGCCAGACATGAGTGCCCATGAGATTGGGTCGGTAGGCTTGACGGAGAGGGCGGGCGGGGGATCGAGGTCTTCTACTGTGGCCTACCAGCTGTCAGTCAAGCATAGGTAGAGCAACGGCCGCTGCACCAACATACGCCGCGGTATTTGTTTGCCCATAGTGCCTGATAGTCGCCATTTGGTGCGTCGCTCGCAGTGCTTGGATCCGCTGCCATAGTGCTCGCTGGGTGGTACGTGAATATGGTGGGGATGCTTATTGCGCAACTATGTGCCCAGATTAAGAGCCGCAGATGGTCGGGCCTGCAATTACATCACGCTAAGCATGCGGAAGCGGGCTTTAGCGGGTAAGGCTTTTGCAATGTTTGGAGCGTGTGACAAAAGTCACAGGTGGCTGTGAAGACCCAGCACAAGCCTGCGGTTGCAGCCCTCGAGATTACAGGAATGCACGCCTCGGCCTTGAACTGAACCGCGCTTTCGATATTGCACTTGGTTCTGGTTCCTGTGGTTGTGCCTTGGAATTGTGCACAGCCATATCTACGCTGTACATTTATTCCACGTAGCTCTGCTTGTGCCAGTGTTTGGTTTTGCAGTTGATGCCACACGTGATGAGCACTAGCGATAACTGCAGGTCACTCGCTCGTGAGAGCCGCCCACTTCTAACACCATCAACGCCCTCAACCCTGCCAGCGAAGGAACATCTCGTGTCCTTGTTGCACAGTACCCAAGTGGCTAGCCCCTGTGCTGGCGTCAGATTGATCCCGATACCAGGACAGCACGATGGCTCCCCCGACGCACCGCTACCCCTCGCTCGATCCCTCCTATAAATCGCCCCGACGGACGGCAATTGTGTGAAATGCGTGTCTAGATACATGCACTACAAGTGCGCGCAGCTGGACATTCTGAGCCTCTAGGGTATACAAAATCTACGGTGGCTCTCGAAGTCGTTGTTAGCCGGGATGGGAAGCAGCAGCTCTGGACATACTCCGTGAGCCATTACAACGGCCGGGCAGCGCAACCACACTCATCTCACCGCGCCATAGCTTGCCTATGGCAGCTGGTGGCCAAGATGTATTTCGCATCCGTACGAGTAGTTTACGGTTGCCCGTTTCAACATGCCAGTACGCTCGACAGGAAGTCCGGCTATTTAAATAGCTAGCACGACGACAGTTCGTTACGGATCGACTGATTGAAAGCGGAAATCCAAGGCAAGTCCAAATGCCTCCGTCGTGTGCTGCACCAGAAAGATGGCTACTGGCTTATCGATAGCCAA